AGTTTTAAACAAAAAGAAAACATTGATTACTTTGATACTTTTTCTCCAGTGACAAGAATTTCTTCTATAAGAATTCTCATTGCTTTGGCTTCGATTCATAAACTCTTTAATATGGTGATTTAAAAGAAGAGATCTACATGGTACAACCTGAAGGGTGCATTGCTCCTGGGCAAGAAAACAAAGTCTATAAACTTGTGAAATCTTCATATGGCCTAAAACAAGCGCCTAAACAGGGGCATAAAAAATTATATCAAGTCTTAACTAATGGCGGTTTCACTACTAATGAGGTAGAAAGGTGCGTTTATACCAAACTTGTGAATAATGACTATGTGATTATCTGCTTGTATGTGGATGACATGCTAATCTTTGGTACTTGTTTAGATGTTGTGTTTGAAACTAAACATTTCTTTACTTCTAATTTTGATATGAAAGATCTAGGTGAAATAAAAGTTATTTTGGATGTTAAGATAACAAAAAATGAAAATGGCATTTTATTATCTCAACAACACTATGTTGAAAAAATTCTTCAAAAATTTGGATGTGATGATGATCCGTTGAGTACTCTTTATGATTCTAGTATGAATTTGTTTAAAAATAAAGGAGAACCAGTTGCTCAATCTAAATATGCACAGATTATTGGGGGTCTGTTGCATTTAGCGAACTTCACAGGCCAAACATAGCATATGTTGTGTGCAGATTGAGCAGGTATACTCACTGTCCAAACAGTGAACACTAGGTAGCCTTAGTAAGAGTATTGAGATACTTGAAAGGTACCATAAGTTATGGTATTCTCTATAGTGGATTTCCTGCTTTATTAGAAGGATACAGTGATGCTAACTGGATCTCAGATTTAGAGGAGACTAAATCTACTAGTGGTTATATATTCACTCTTGGTGATGGTGTAATATCGTGGAGGTTAGCCAAACAAACCATTCTAACTAAATTCTCGAGGGATTCAGAGCTAATCGCTATGGAGTTGGCTGGTACAGAGGTTGAGTGGTTGAAAAACTTCTTGGCTAATATTTTATTAGGAGAAAAACCACCACCATCAGTGTCTTTGCATTGCGATAACCAAGCCGCAATAGCTACAGTGAAAAACAAAACCTTTAATGGTAAAAGTAGACACATACGATTGAGACATAATATTCTAAGGCAGCTGCTCAAAGATGGATTAGTCTTAATCGATTTTGTGAGATCAGAAGTGAATCTGGCATATCCGTTTACAAAACCCCTAGGGAAGAAACAGATTATCGAAACATCAAGAGGAATGGGACTTAAACTAACATGAAATTAACAACGATGGAAACCCAACCTTTGTAATTGGAGACCCCATGGAGAAGGTTCAAATGGAAAAAGCAAGTCATCTGTTAGTTCTACTAGCACTATTGTAAATTCATAGTCCCTTCTTATGATGTGAGAAAGTGCTAAAATGCATTTTTATTAGCAAGGTTGAGTAAAAACTCTTAATGATTTCATAATCCTACGGGATAGTGTGCTCATTGCAGGTACACTTGATGAAATCACATCTACGAATGTAGAGTGGGGCCACTCCCATGAGATCATGGTGAAATCTCTAGAGTATTCGTTAAGAACTAGGCCCGCACATGGCCGTCATAACGCACAAAACCGCTATAAACAGTAGAAATTGTAAGGGTATAATCTGACTCTTGATACCTCTAGTGCATACCAAGAGTTGTTGGTTCATAGAAGCAAGCTTCACTGACATCCTTGTGTGCTAAGTATTATTGGTCTAGATCTGGTTTATAGTCTGAAAGACGTTAGACTCGAAACGGTTATATCCATGTGTAACTCAGCTGTACGTGTTCCCTTTTGACACATGTGGGGGATTGTTGTGTATATAAATGGGTGTGTCAAAAGTGAAGTCCCACATTGTCCAAGAGAGAGGGAGCTCAAACGTATAAATGCTATAATACATTATTGGGCTAGTGAATGGGCCTAGAGGAGAAGGAGGATCTCACGCACACGACAACAGCCCAACGGAGGGAAACACAGTTGAAAACTGGCGATTCTCCCCCCTGTGCGTCAATTAGAACAGTATTGGGCACTTTTTATAAAAACACTTTTGCAAAATTAAATTATAAAATGGTGTTAAGAAAGCTTATCAGAAAATCCTTCTTTTGACTATTTATTTTTTGTAACAGCCGAAAGTTACTAAACGTTGAAAGTTTTTCAAACTATGATTAATTCTCCATTAATCCTTAAACCATTTTTTGTGGATTAATGTCTGGTAACATCTGAAATTTATTTCTTAAACGTACCTAGTGTTCATAACCAAAGGTATAGTTACAGATTATTGTAGTAATGTATGAAACTGACAGATTAATTGTGTTTATAGAGGTGCCCAATGGTCAGGTCCCCTGAGGCCTATATAAAGCGGTCCAAGACAGTGTATTCTGCACCCCGCTCTTGAGTTTTCGAGCATCTGTTCCTCCTATGCGTTTCTCCTTCCCTCTCCGTGTTTCTGTGCTATTGAGTTATATTTTTTTGCTGTTCTGTCACCTTGTTTTTTTGCAAGAAATGTTTGTTTAATCCTATGGAGTGGCGCATTCACATTTACCTACGGTGGCAGAATAACTCTTAAAAACAGTGTCTACTAACATGACTCGGACCAAGCTGATACACACTTCTAGTTTCCTCAACAAATTGAACATACGATGATGAGAAGAATAGAACTTGAGTCAGTAGCTAGTTAAAAGAAGACACAAAAGAGAAATCTTGCATTGGAGTTTCTCTACGGGACGTGCGTTGACCGTTCACGACTACAAAGTCACAGAACGCAGCGGATTCTTATTTCTAAAATCCTACTACTCCGATTTACTTCAACTTTGAATAAAATCTATGCAAGCATCAAGCGAGGCAATAAAGAGGAAACGTACGCAAGGAGAAGCATAAGGGGAGAGCAGCTCCAGCTGGCGATGAGGGCGCGGAGAGCAGGACGAGCCTTGTCGAATTCCTTTAGATGTTCAGTGTCAGCCACCGGCAACGCCATTGAATGTTCCTTCAAGTTAGCTACTATCTGCCTACAGAGCTTTACAGCTTCAGAAACCAAAAAGAGAGTAGATACTGTTGGGTTGAAGAAAAGGCTCTGGATTTTGATTGGAAGACAAGAAACAAGAGGCTGCGAGCAAGAAAACGATGATGGGCGGATATCCCCTCCTGTGATGCTACTCGACTGCGTTTATGCTCATGTCCGGCTCCGTGAGCTCAGTACGTGGGAGTCTTTTTGTTTTGGTTAACAAAGGCAAGCATTAAGCTTGCGAGCTACATCAAAACAACATCAAAAATCAGTTGGCGCTAGGTCACCAATTCCTACATTCCTATCCAAAAAACCATCAGGAGGCTCCTGGATCATTAGTGCGTGGGAGCGGATTGGCAGTAGCAAAAGAGGCTTTTATTCTAATTGATTTTGCAAATTTAAGTTAGAATAAAAATTAGTTAGTATAATGTGATTTATGTTTGGATTGATGTTTATAAAAAGTCAATTAAAATGGCTGAAACTTATTTTGATAATTAATAGAAAAATAAATTTAGATGTAAAATAACTAAAAAGGGCATGAACTTTGTAAAACGATACATATTTATATCATATGTTTATAATGTGATAATTGTTAGAAAATAATTAAAATTAAAATTATAAAAATAAAATTAAAATTGAAATTTGTTTGGATAGTATATTAAAAAGTAGTTTGGATATAAAATGATTGAAAAATACATTAATTTTATTAAATATATATTATATGTTTATAAAGTGATAATTTTAAGATAAATATTAAATTTAAAATTATAAAAAATAAAAAAGTTAACATATAATGAAAAATTATAAATACTAAAAAACACTTAATAAGGTATATTTAATGTACTTTTGTATATATATGGTCATTGAATACTATTTTCTGCTCCTTAATATAATACCTAATTGATTAATTTGACGAGACTAAAGAAATTAAATAAATAAATTTAAAGTATGTAAATTTATCATTTTTATCCAAACTAATTTACCTACTTTATAAAATGATATATAATCTAATAACACCTATAAGTATTTTGAAAAAATTATCTAACATATGCTATAATTAATTAGTTTTTTAAGCTTTTTTATAATATCTAAATTAGTTAACTAGATCTCATATTGAGGATAGAAGGTGATAATATCATTTAATTTATATATTTAATTTTTTTATTTAAAAAAAATCTCTCTCTTTGTCATTGTATTTTTCGTTCTCTCTCCTTCCTTCCTTCTTTTTTTTTTTTTAAATATTCCCTCCTCTTTTTCTTTTTTCCTTCTCTCTCCTTGCTTTTTCAATGTTCTTTTAATTTCTCTCTTAATAGTTAGGGCTTGTTTAGATTGACTTATAAGTAGCTTTTCAAACGTGATTTACGGAATACGAGGTAAGTATGTGAGGAGAGTTTTGTCTCGACTTACGTGAACTTGCTTAAAAGTCTGTTTTGAACGGAGCTCCAAACAAGCCTTTAGAAGTTAGAAGCTCCTCAAAAGTTACTTTTACCTTGAGCCCGTTTTTTACCTCTCAATGCATGTCTCATGTTTTTCTCCAACGCTGAATAGTAATTTTTAAATTTTAAACAACTTCAAGAGTTTGAGAATTGAAAATTTTAAAGGGGAGAATTCATTTCTTATTAAAAAAAAACAAGAAGAATAAGAGAAATGTTGTGTCCATTCCATTTGTCTAATCATCATTGATTGCTCGTTTTATTTCTTACTTCTAAAATTCAAACATTTTTTTAATAGAGAAAAAGTTTTAGAGTCTTATGAACATCATACTTCAATTTTTCTTGGGATACGATACTTCAATTTATTATCTATTAATACACACAATATACCGGAGGCGACTCAAATGCGTACAAACTACAAAGAACCAAATGTGAAAGTTGGGACAGGCAGTAGGGCATCACAATCTCAATTCCCATTAAACTTGTTATTCAAGTTTATATCCAATATGTGTGTGTGCGCGCGGGCGCGTTTGATTGTAAACTACATGCTTATTTTTACACATCTAAATGAACATATCAATCCACCTGACAAGATTTCGTTTAAGATATCAATCTCCCCAAAATTGAAGAAATAAGACTCTCTTTGTTGGCCATAGAACAAAGATTTCGTTTAAGAAAGAAAGAATGATGAATGACGGAACAAAAATGAAAAGGGAGAATTTTATCATCAAGCTTACGAAGGTATCCACTGCAACTCTACTTGGATGCGACCATTCTTTGAGTCTATGAGATGATGCTTTTCATTAATTCTCTTGTTAGTGACAACATCCGCCAGACTGATCTCCACATAACCCAGATATTCCTATTGTCCAAAGCCCAACAGAGGAATCAAACATAAATAAACAGATATATAAACTCAATCACAAAATCCATAAAGTAAGCCAAAATACAGGCAGAACCGCTAAGTGCGGTTTAATGGTGAAGATTTAGCATGTGTATGGATGACCAATGGAAGGCAAATCCAAAAAAAAAAAAAAAAACAGAAACAGTGTTCTCAAGAAGTGCTCAAATTAGAGCATGTTATGCTCAGAGACAGATAACAGTTCTCCATTGTAGCACACATTAATGCAACTGATCATATTTATCTGTACCACAAAGTCAAATCTGTGTACCTCTAAATGAAGGGAGTCAATTAATTTCATGGGTTAGAAACATTGCGAAAACAGCCAACCCAAAATCCAAGAGGACTCTATCAGATATTGACAATCAAAGGCATGGTCTTTTAACTTTCACTAAAGCATATATATGAGACAGGAAAAAAAATGTCCATAGACTTTTTGTTTATCAAAGCATCGTCATGTTAACAATATTCTTTAACATCAGATAGACCGATATAAAGGAGTTATGAATTCTGTACCTTGGGATGCAACAGGTTGCGGGACGAGGTGCTGACAACCTCCACGTGTAATTTCTCGTTAGTGGGAGGTTCCTCTGCTACAAATTGGAACTCCTCAGCCCATCTTGGATCTCTGTTCTTTTTTATATGCTGCAGCATTACACAGTATTACATTAGGCGTCAATTGGACAGAATTCTTTTATGAGTATTACTACGTTTCATTTGTTGCTCCTTAAAAACCTCGCAGGAGAAAAAGAAAACATGAAAAGGTAGAATCGAAGTATTGGTTCAGAACATATACCTTAGTCCTTTTCTGCTCGCCTTTGAAAAGAACTCGAGCTTGAGGATTAGTGTGGTACTTTCCTTCAACATCTCGAGCTTCGTGGACTATAACCACAAGCAGGCCTCCCCCAGGAGGAGTGCCTTCAGGAGCATTTTGTATTATCTGAGCCCCTTTGTCCTTGAGTAAGTCCTCTTCTTTAAATGGTCTATATGTTAATTCTACAACAATCTGACCGCGGGACTTCCCATTTTCGCCTTCGTAGGGATCCATGTTTTTCAAGAGATCAAGAGTAAAAACTTTAGCCTCTTCAGGGGCAACTTCTTTTAACGGGACTATATTTACACCCATCCTTTCGTGTTTCCCAACCTTTGTTTAAAAAAAATCAGTTCAAATAAGGATTAAGGTCCCGGACTCGAACATATAGACTTTCAACTAAAGTTATATATATACCTGATCCCAGTCATAAACTTTAAGACTTAAAACCTGGTTCTCAGGATCTTTAACAAGAAGATTAAATTCTTCATTCCATTCTGGATTCAAGCATTTGTGCTTCACTGAGGTCTTTTTTGATTGCATCCTTTCATCGGAAAGCTTTAGTTTTACATAAGGGTCAGACGCACCAAGTAGATCTTTCTTTTTAAGCTTTATGGCCCTCAGAACCTTTACATTGAGAATTCCCACAGGCCTCTTCAATGCTCTGGGATTCATAATAAAGTTTATATGTCAAAACATTGAGTAACTAATAAAACAACATATCATGACAAGATAGCATAAGAAACAACCAGAAACATACTTTATTGGATCCAAAATTTGCACTTCCAAGGTTTTTGGCCACAGGTACAAATTCGCAACTTGATCTTTGATAATGTCCTGAAAACAATTATAAAACCTCAATAAACTAAGCAGAAACATGATAAGATTTTCAACATGCTGAAAGGGAAAGTATTTGGTTCATCTGTCCCTGAGCCATAAACCCACCACCACGCATTGTTAACCAAAAAATATGTATTGCATAACATTTTCTTCGCGCATGTGTTTTGCATGTACCTTTCAATTAATATGTAAAGTATCATCACACCTTTTTAACGAAAAGATCTCATTACACTTCTTTTTCTCCATCTGAAAACCTCTGTGATTACACCTTTCAATTACTAACAGAGTATTCTTCTTCTCTTTTGTCGTCAAACTTTCGTGTATCCACAAAGAACCTACGGCTCGATGCAGAATTGTTGGGGTAACATTCTCAATATCCTATAGAGGTTCTATGCATTACACAATATATACACAAAGCAATGTTCTACCCTGAGGCCATTGCAAATCTCAGAATATGATTCCCCAGTACGAACATTGATTGATATGTACCACACGAGAGAGAGAAAGAACTGATCCCCCAAAAGGTGCTAAATTAAAGATATCATATCACACATTTGTACCTGAACAAACCTGTAGAGGCCAGGAATGGACATAAGATCTGCCCCTACCAGTTTTAGCCCAAAGTCAACATGTGGCTGCGACATAAAAGACATATTAAAATGGAGATAATGAGTATCATTCATTCACAATACTGTTATAATGACACAAAACCACATGAGTCTTTCAAGAACAAGTTAATATAAGTTTTGGAAGTACAATATCATATGTCCCAACATTGATTTTAATGTTGTCTCTAAAAAGTCAGGAGTTGAGTAAAATTGAAATTCATCTAAAAATGGAAACGATGGACCCAAACGACAATGATTGTCATAATTTGCTAAAAACTAAGAAAGATAAGGTAAATAAAACCGTCACAGCTATTAACTATGACATGTCTTAAAACAATAGCTTATTTACACCATCATATTGAAAGCCTTGCACGAAAGAAACCCAAGAAAAAGAAACATAATCATCATGACTACTTTGAAGAGTTGGATTGTTAAAGAGAGAGAATAAAAAAAGTTAATTTGATCAAGAACTATTGTTTGACAAGAGCTCAAAATCTGGTCATCATTCCACCAGTTCTTGAGCAATGGCCAAATTTTGACAGTCTCGAGGAACAGCAAGACGGCTTTCCTAATTCTAGTAAGACCATCAAGATCATAATCAAGTGGTCATACACAGTAAGTGGGGAAAGCGAATCACCCATTAATCACAAACCTTCTCCATAAGAGACACAAAAATATTGCAAAAGCAAGGAAATGTTGGAACCAAAGGTTTCAATGTAATCCGCAGTGAAAGAAAAACTTGCAAGTCTACCACCTGAAAGGATACAGAATGCTTAGCAAGTTAGCATCACCTTTTGCCCCATTCTCTTTCTCACACACAAGATAATAAAAGTGGAACCTGAACGGTTGCTTTCAACCCAAATGCCTTAACAGCAACAATAACATTAGGATTTGCGGCCCATTTTAAACAAGTCTCCATGATCAGCTCCTTCTCATCAGTCACAAAGACTTTCATCCCTACCAACAACAAGAAATCCAGTCAACTAAGGAATTGACAAGATTCATACATCAAGTCATTATGAAAAACCATTCAAATACAAAAAATAGCAAAGGTGCAACTATCCTTTGTATGCAGAGGAGAAAGAATCTCGCTTCTAAAAGAAAATAATAACTTTATCAGGTGCCTCAATCTTGGATAATTTGCAAGAATCAACAAGGATGGTAAAAAGCATGACATAAACTATTCGATATCAGCTGCGGGGAAAAGCTTTGGAGCAAAAAGAAACTACGATGAAGAGCAGCTGTATTTCCTCTGTCACCTTCCTTTTCTTCAGCCCCCTGTCTCCAAGTAATTTTTTTTTTTTTTGGCTCTTCGTTTTCATAGTTTCGGTAAAATTAGTGACCTCAACTCCTCGCATCAGAGCTAGTGATTGCTACTTGAAGTTAAATTTAAGAATGGGATACAGACTTGAAGAGGATTAAACATGTTTAATGGGAAAAATGGCGTGTATGGCCTCACGAACATTAATGAACAGCTTTGAGAGAGTAACAATACCATGTCCAGGTGTACTAACCTTGAAAAGTTGGAGGCAAGGTCCCAAGTGTTAACTTTTCAAAATCAACTGAGTCTATTTTATAATTTTTTATCTGCTCATCGATTATGGGTGTTGCAATACCCTTTGCAGTCTTGCAAATAGCCTAATCAAGCAAAAAAAAAAAAAAGTCCAAAAAGGGGACAAGGAAAAAGAAAAAGTTAGATGTGAATTGAGATCGGATTAGAAAAATACCTTGTCAAGGTTGGGCCACATGTATTCAAGAAACTTGTTTAACCAATCAACCTATGGAGAAGCACAAACAAAAATAAGTATCATGGGAAACTCCAACTCAAAAACAGACTCTCATTTAATATAACATCGAGAAATATATCAAATGCATTAGTCAATCACCCGATCAAAGTCTGGATTTTTCAGCCAAATTGGAATCTCAGGAAGAATCCGTTGCAAAGTGTCTTCATCTTGCTTGGCCAATGGACAAATATCAGGATCCTGTCCAAGCCAACAAGGTACCCCTTATACCCACACAGACAGTAAACAACGCGGTTGAAATTTACAGATATTCACAAGACAAGGTCGCGCCGTGTTTGATGTTCTTCCCTGGTTACCTTTTATTTGTTACTTTATGGTGACAGTCAGCCTTCTCTAACCCTTTCTGTTTTGGGTTTTTCTTGCAAATGGGTCAGGTTGACACTTTAGTTTTAAACTTGCATAAGAAATACAACATTATTATCTTGGATGATCTCATTTTATAGGAAATATTATACTAGAATCTTATAGTACTCCCTTTTTAATAATCCTTTAGTGTCATCTTCTTTACTTGATTTACACAATGGCAGTCGGTTCGAGAAGAGTAGACAGAATCCTAATGCAAGATTAGACATGAGATAATGGCTGCATGAATGCTAACAATCGCATATATAGCCAAGAACAAGTAGGGAAAAATAACTGAATATCATATTAGAGCGGTAAGACTCGCTCGACTTTTTTCATAATTCTCCTCTTGCAATGTAAGAATGGAACAGCAAAAAATTCCCGGTCTTGAATCAGAAAAAGACATTTTGTCGGTTACATGTCCTCTATCACAAAAAGAGCAGAAGGAGAAAAAAGGATCAATGTATACCGTAACATGAAACACGAAGAATCATCAACAAACCTTTACATCGCTGGGTTGAACATAAATAAAGAGAAAATATCCAATAACAAGACCAACTGAAATCCCAATTCCAAATCCACAAACTCCAAATAAAGTGCTGAAGAAACCCATCTCAAATACTTCCCCACGACCAAACCATTTAGATCAGGCTTCGATCGGCTCCTTCAATGTCCACTACTAAAAGCATATCAGAGAAACGTCATTTTGCAGAGTGATCTCGTTCTCCTCACATGCATATATACATATATATATATATATATCACCATTCCGACGTCAAAACAAGTAAATACAAATCGATAAAAATTTCGAGTTGTAAAGAAAATAAGGATTTCCTCGTAGTCGTAAGTTCTTATATTATGGTGCGAGAAGTTAACAGAGAGAAAAGAACAACAATACGCGTGGTTAAAAATGAAATCGCATTCATGGGGTTCCATGCACACGTCACGTGATCCCGGCGTGGTTCTTGATTTTGTCTTATAGCTCCAGGCTTCAGCTCACAATCACCCACCGCGGCAACCTAATCGGATTCGGGTCCGATGTAGGGCCCCCTTGTACACGTGGCATGCGTTTGCATTTATGTAAGGCCATCCCGCGTCACTTGATGTGGACTTTTACGGACCAAGTTTATACGGAGACGTACGCTTTGCGTTAATGTTAATTTTATAATATAATTGAATGAAGTATTATTATTGATATATTTATTATTTATATTCGTACGTTTAATTTTGTGACTCGTTGTCCTTGTTCATGTTTTTCTCCTTCTAGCCAAAATATAAAAATATTATAATCCATAATACAAATTCGAAAGTTAATGGCATTTCCAACGCTAGAATTAATGTATGAATTTATTAATGAATAATTATTCATTTTGGACTATTAAGTTATATTAATATGATAATTAAAGTTTTGTCTAAAACTATAAGTGTGCTTGTGGCATGCGCGAACCATTGTTAATTTGCTAAACATAACCTAATCTTCTCTCAAGTGGGCCCGTTCGGCATGACCGCTTCATTTTCCTATATTGTGATATGAGTGAGCCTTTGGCGGTGTCCGGACAAGATCACCTCTCAAGTAATTCCCCATCATAAATGACGAGAGCTGGCTAATTACTGATGAGCATAAACTTCGCTGGCCCAAAAGCCGTAGGTGGAGGCCCAATAATTAATGAGGATCTGGCCTTATGTTTTTTGTTGGTGTTAATGTTTGGGGGTGTGATTTATATATATTAAAAAATTGTTTAAGTTAATTATTTATTTAAAATGTATATTGGTCTTTCTAAAATGATATTTTTGATCATTTGCGTGGAACTACCTTTTAATTTGAAAAAAACATTTTATTAGTATTTGACAGTACTTTGAATAGGATGATACCTATATTTTAGCAAAAAAAATAATAATCATGCATTTTTAAAGGTTAAAAAAAACCTATGTCTTTGAACCTATCAAAATATTCATTCATGTTGATGAAATTTACTATGTATGTAAAAAGCTTGATACTTCTTATGATATTTAGTATAAGAATTAAATGACTGATTTATATATATTAAAAAATTATTTAAGTTAATTATTTATTTAAAATGTATATTGGTTTTTCTAAAATGATATTTTTGATCATTTGCGTGGAACTACCTTTTAATTAAAAAAAAAACATTTTACATGTATAGTTGATGTGGATAATTTGGAAAAAAAATTATAAATTTGAAAAGTAATATAAATTAAGATTTTATATTTAAAATCAAAATAAATTTGATGATTAGTTTCTATATTCAGAGTCGAATAGAGCATTAAATTGGGGGGGGGTGAATGGCTATGCCTAAGCAAATTGGTATTTATAATAATGGCGTTAATGCTTATTTACAAGGGGCGTGTATTTGGACTAGAAATTGCAAAAAAAGTATTTGACATCTTTTAAAAACAAATAAAAAAGTATTTTCACGCAAATACCTTTTTATTTATATGCATGCTTAAAGAGTAGCAATGCTCCCTTCCCCATGTTAGAACCAGAAATAGAGGAAATAGGTGAAAATCCACTTGCAACCCCTTCTTTTAAATGCAGTGATTTTTTTTTTTGAGCTAAAGCATAGGTATTCTTCTATTGGAAGCAATCATATTCGAGGCATTGTCGGGCACTAGATGTGGGCACCTCTCTAAGCGGGGATTCGAACATTTATTCACCACGTTATGGGAGATTAGTTCCTTCTACTAGACCCGACTCCCGTTGGTAAATGTGGTGATTTTGAAATATCAATAAAATTCTCTCTTTTCTTTACTTTCTTTCTACTGAAAAATTTTCCTCTCATGAAACTAAACACTATCTCAAATCGTAATAGTATGCAGAGAATTATGAATTCTAATCTGATTAGTTGACCTCCTCAACGAATTATTGCATGGATGAATCAAACAAGGAATATATGTGGAGGCTAAATTGGAAAGTTAAATTTAAGACGGTGATTATAAGATCTATTTCAAAAAAATTTTATCCATAGCATCACTACCGCTGAGGAGTATTTGGGTGAAAACTAAATTATAATTTTAAAAATTATTTTATAGTGTTTGGAATGAATATATGAGAAGAGTTTTATCTCAATTTACGTAAAAGTACTTTAAAAAAATATTTTTAGGAGTAACCAAACAACCCCTCAATCTTAATATCGTTGTGCATTTTGCTAATATTGTAAAAGAGTTTGTTTGAAATACTCCTCTTGTCCTATTTATAAGGCAGAGAGATGAGCCTTTTTTGGTCATATTACAAGACACTGAGAGAATTTTTTTGTATAGATGTACAATTTTACTCCTCATTTATTATTGTGTTGACTTTATTTATATGAGGTATAATATATATTAAACAGGGATAGAGTTGGAAAGTTATTAAATTTTAAATGAGAGTCAATGAAATTTAAGATTTTTCTTGGTCTTATGAAACATGCTGAAAGCGTCTTATAAACAGGACTAGAGAAACAGCTTATAAGTAGCTTTTCAATAATGATTTACGGAATATAAAATAAGTATATAAAATTTTTTTATTTTGACTTACATAAAACGTGTTTGTAAGTGTTTTTTTTTTTTTATTGTCGAATAGGCACAAAACAAATACTGAGATGTGGGGGCTAGGGGGGAAAGGAAAGAGAGTTTTAAAAAAAACGTGCGTAATAGTTAATGAGAATAACAATAAGAAACGTACGAGTGAATAAATATTTATCATGGTGGCTCAAGAAATGCAAAAGATCTGAAATATTATGGAAGTTAGGATTCGAGAAACACAACACGATGCACTTTACATCTTATCGTAAACAACAATACTCCCTCTGTTCCTTATTATAAGAGACATTTGATGCTTATGGCATGTTCCTATATATAAAAGATACTTAAAAGTTGTCTCTACTTTTTGTGTTGATTTCCTATTTTACCCTTATTTATTGTCTCCAACTCACACTTTCTCTCCCTTCCACTTCTCTTTCTTTCAATAATTTAATTGTTTTCTTTCATGCTCTCTCTCCTTATTAATGAGGGCATTTTTGAAAAAAAAATTATATTTTTTACACATTGATTGTTCTTAACTAATTTTAACTGCTTTTTTTTATTAACGTAATTTAGTTATTCGTCTCTTATAATAAAGAACGGAGGGAGTAGTAAAGATAATCTGAATAGGTAGCATTTAAATGGGCTGAGTGCATGCAAGCTAATAAACACGACGTCTACTTATCACCACAGGCAATATTTGTTTGTTTAGGCACTACCGTGAATTAAAAGTAGCATATGAAATAAAGAAGCACTATTTTTGTATTAATTTACTATAATCAAAATTTAAACTCAATACGCTTAAATAGCCTATTTTCACTATTTTAGAGTTTCAATCAAGAAGCATAGATGTTACACCACCCTATCAATCTCCAAAATTATGAAAAGTATGCTGATACACATTATATATTATAAATTGTGAATCACGTGATTTATTTGAATTATATGTAAATGTATTTCCTCCATCGTAATCGAGATGTATTATTGTATTAATCAAAATTAGATGTGAACCTCATGTGTTGATGAGAAATAAGTTACATGGTTCATATACTCCCTTTACTTCAAAATATAAACTAAATTTTGTTAGAAGGGTTTGATTTTTTTTATAAGATAATCACTTTTATTTGAATATTTAATGAGTTTTTTTTTTAATTTTATACCCACATATTTTTTTGATTTATTTATTGTATTTTTTATTTATTCTCTCTATTAATAAAGGCATGTTAAAAAAAAATGTCTTACATGTTTATGATTTAAAAATAATTTTAGTTAATTTCTTCATAAATATAAATAGATAAAATTTATTTTATATTTTTAACGGGAGCATTTTAAAATAATTTTAACTAATTTTTTGATAAATGTAAATAGATAAAATATATTTTATATTTTAACGGGAGGGACCATATAGTAAACCACAGTATAATTTACGTGAATATTAAAGGCGATATATTACTATTAAAAATGTTTTTTCTTTAAAATATTTCAACAAACTATTTAAGATTGTTGATAATAAAATACTCTTTTGTATTACTTTTCTTCCAAAGGGGGCCAAATTAAGTTGCGTATAAAAGGATCGTCCCTCCTTCTTTTGTTCCTCGGCTAGCTAGGGTTTTCGCAGGGAATTTCCAAGCACAATTGAGAGTTTCTAATTGGCTGCACCTGCCTGAATTTCCAGGGGGTATGGTTTAGTTTTCGTCAAATAGACAGGTAATTGCTCCAAATAAAAATTCGTAGGGTTTTTTCAAATTGGGGATTTTTTGCGATTCTCCTTAAGCTGGTGGAAGCGTGAAGAATCCGGGGTTCTGAATTGGGGTTTTCTCAGTTCGTCAGCTGATTGAATAAAACCTGCGATCTTGCCTTCACGAGGTTCAATCAACGTTAAAGATAGATGCCTCGGATTATTCGATCCACGACATTGTGATTGCCGCTCGGTAGCGAGCGAGTTGACAAATCGAGGGGTGGGTGGGTCTTTGTATGGAAACTCGGAGCCGGAAGCGGGCGGAGGCTTCCTCAGCTGCCCCTTCATCGTCGTCATCCGGTCCTACCACCCGTTCCAGCAAGCGCGCTCGTCTTTCTGCTGCTGCTTCTTCTTCTTCGAACCCCACCGCTACAGTTCATTCAGTTTTGACTCGTTCTCGTGCATCTCGGGGTCGTGAAGTGTTACCGCCTAACAACTCTGCTCCGATGGACTCGACCAATGAACCATCCGGGTCACGCCGTGATCGCCGTGGGAAGAATATAGACAGGGACAATTCGGATAAAGGGGAGGAAAAAGAGCATGATGTTAGAATTAGGGATAGAGAAAGGGACGCCGAGAGGAGCTTAGGATTGAACATTGAAAGTGGAGGGGCTGGGGACGACGATGATAACGACAGTGAAGGGGGTGTTGGAATTTTGCATCAGAACTTGACCTCCGCGAGCAGTGCACTTCAAGGGCTTCTTCGTAAACTCGGTGCCGGTCTAGATGATCTGCTTCCGGCATCAGCGATTGGTTCTGCATCAACGTCCCACCAGAGTGGCAGGTTGAAGAAAATTCTTTCTGGCTTGCGGGCCGATGGGGAAGAAGGTCGGCAGGTTGAGGCACTGACTCAGTTATGCGAAATGCTTTCCATTGGGACCGAAGAATCACTTAGTACATTTTCTGTCGATTCTTTTGTACCTGTGCTCGTGGGGTTGCTTAACCATGAGAGCAATCCTGATATCATGCTTCTAGCAGCCAGGGCGCTAACCCATCTCTGTGACGTGCTCCCTTCATCTTGTGCCGCCGTTGTGCATTATGGTGCAGTGTCATGCTTCTGCGCAAGATTGCTTACCATAGAATATATGGACCTAGCTGAGCAGGTTGTTTTCTTGTCCGTCAATATTTGATTGGTGGGAACCATGTTTGGGAATTCAGAGCAAATGTTACGCTTTTAGATAGCATTAACTTGTTACTTTGTTCTTGAACTATTCTGATGTGTAATTCTTGCTAGAACTAAGTGTAACAATGTTCACATGGTAGTGCATTATTTCTATCATCCTAAGGTAGATTTGTGTTAAAGTTATTATAACCCCCTAGTCTCGATATGAGACTTTTGAGATGTGATCTTTCTTAAAAAACCTTTGGCAGTCCTGAATGCTTGACAAGTATTATTGTTCACGTATACAGTCTCTTCAAGCTCTGAAGAAGATATCTCAAGAGCACCCAACTGCCTGCCTAAGAGCCGGTGCTCTTATGGCTGTGCTTTCTTATTTGGACTTCTTCTCAACCGGTGTTCAGGCAAGTTATCACTGAATCTTCTGTACACTGCCCATCTTGTACATCAATTTTAGTGAGAAGCTAATATTGACTTAAAATGTGTTTCAGCGGGTGGCATTATCTACTGCTGCAAATATGTGTAAGAAGCTTCCTTCTGATGCAGCTGACTTTGTAATGGAAGCTGTGCCACTTTTGACAAATCTCCTTCAGTATCATGATTCCAAGGTATATTTAGTTGTCAAACTAATGATGACAATAATCTGCCTCTGGCTTCACATACATGCCAGCTGCACTTCAGAGAACTTAGTGCAGGTGGTAGTGGGAAAGCCAAGGGAACTAGATTTTTGCGTGTTCATAGTCAGTTATCATATTTCTTCATCGCGGGCAAATTTTTATTTTTATAGGTTCTGGACCATGCCTCTGTTTGTTTGACTAGAATTGCTGAAGCATTTGCATCATCTCCAGACAAATTAGATGAATTATGCAATCATGGATTGGTAACACAAGCTGCCTCCCTTATTTCCACCAGCAGTTCTGGTGGTGGACAGGCTTCTCTCACCACATCTACTTATACTGTAAGATCTTGGCTTTTAAATCTGCTGCTTCTACCTTTGGGGTTTGGTTATTGACTTGATGGGCATATGCAGGGTTTAATCCGACTTCTCTCCACCTGTGCAAGTGGTTCTCCTCTTGGAGCAAAAACATTGCTTCTCCTTGGTATAAGTGGCATACTTAAAGATATATTATCTGGTTCTGGAGCATCCGCTAATTCCTCTGTTTCACCTGCGCTGAGTAGGCCACCAGAGCAGGTAGAGTATATGCCTGCAAGTCATTCTTTTTAGCTTTCATCATTTATATGTAGAATTGTCTTCCTATGGTTCTTTGTGATAGTTTCACATATTGAATACATGATCTACATGATTGAATTGTTTTCTAATCTCTTACCTTTGCGGGATGATAAACATGTCATAGTTCTTCTTTTATACAGATATTTGAGATTGTGAACCTGGCCAATGAGCTGCTGCCCCCATTGCCACAAGGAACTATCTCTCTTCCAGTTAGCTCCAACTTGTTTGTGAAAGGTTCTGTTGTGAAAAAGTCTCCTGTTAGTAGTTCTGGTAAACATGAAGATGCAAATGGAAATGTGCCTGAGACGTCAGCTCGAGAGAAATTGTTAAATGATCAGCCAGAGCTACTTCAACAATTTGGGGTGGATCTTCTCCCAGTTTTGATACAGGTTTGGATTGCTTCTATTAAGACACTTAAATTTTGAGATGTTAATATGTTTATTAAAGAAGAAGTTGCTGCATTTTGCACGTTCTTCATTTTTTCCCATACTGGTGATTTATTAGTAGCATTGGCTTGCTTTTGGGGCAGATATATGGCTCGAGCGTCAATGGCCCTGTTCGGCATAAATGTCTTTCTGTAATTGGAAAACTGATGTATTTTAGCACAGCAGAGATGATCCAGTCGTTGTTGAGCGTGATGAACATATCAAGGTATCAATAACTAGAATTTTAATTGTTTTCTTGACGTGATAATTGTCCTGTAGTATTGTAAACTAATACATTTTTCGGGGGAAAACTTATGTATTATTTATGTGATCATATAGTTTTTTAGCTGGTGTCTTGGCATGGAAAGATCCACTTGTTCTGGTTCCTGCATTGCAAATTGCGGAAGTTCTTATGGAAAAGCTTCCTGGGACATTCTCTAAGATGTTTGTTAGAGAAGGCGTTGTCCATGCAGTGGACCAACTTATTGTAGCCGGCAATTCTACTAATGCCTCTACCCAGCCATCTTCTGATAACAACAATGATGCAGTATCTGGTCCGACATCTCGCTCTAGACGTAATCGTCGACGTGGTGGTAGTTCAAACCCAGATGGAAATCCTTCAGATGATGTGAAAAGTTCTGTCTCAGTAAATGTAGGTTTTCCTCCAAGTTCAGTGGAAATTCCTACGGTTAATGCTACTCTTCGAACGTCTGTAAGCTCAGCTGCTAAAGCATTCAAAGACAAATACTTTCCTTCAGATCCTGGGGCTGTTGAAGCAGGTGTTACCGATGATCTTTTGCATCTGAAAAATCTTTGCATGAAGTTAAATGGTAGTGTTGGTGACCAAAAGTTTAAAGCAAAGGGAAAATCCAAAGCTTCTGCATCCGGTTTGGAAGATAACTCTACAATTAATGAAGAGTATTTGATGGGGGTCATATCTGACATGCTAAAGGAACTTGGCAAAGGAGATGGTGTATCTACGTTTGAATTTATTGGCAGTGGTGTTGTTGCAGCTCTGCTGAATTACTTTTCTTGTGGGCACTTCTCTAAAGATCAAATCTCGGAAAATAACCTGCCTAGTCTTCGCCAACAAGCACTTAAAAGATTCAAGTCATTTGTAGCTGTTGCTTTACCCTCTGGCACTGATGAGGGGGCTATAATTCCCATGACTGTCTTGGTTCAAAAGCTACAAAACGCTCTGTCCTCTTTGGAGCGTTTTCCAGTTGTGCTGAGCCATTCATCTAGGTCATCTAGTGGAAGTGCACGTCTCTCCTCTGGACTAAGTGCATTGTCTCACCCCTTCAAGTTGCGTCTTTGTCGTGCACAGGGTGAAAAGACACTTAGGGATTATTCATCCAATGTTGTATTAATTGATCCATTAGCAAGTTTAGCAGCTATTGAAGAATTTCTTTGGCCTCGTATCCAGCGTAGTGAATCTGGTCAGAAGTCTACCATGCCAGCTGGAAATTCTGAATCTGGTACAACTGCTGGAGCTAGTGGTTCATCTCCTCCTACTTCGACTCCTTCCACTACACGTCGTCATTCAACCAGATCCAGAGCAGCTGTTAATATAGGTGATACACCCAGAAAGGAGACATCTCAAGAAAAAAGCACGAGCTCATCTAAGGACAAAGGAAAAGCTGTATTGAAGCCTGCGCAGGAGGAGGCCAGAGGAGCCCAAACAAGAAATGCTGCTCGCAGAGCTGCTCTGAATAAAGAAGCTCAGATGAAGTCTGTAAATGGTGACTCGACTTCTGAGGTATGCAGTGAAAATTTGGGCCTGAGTTTATGATAGCAGACTGTTCTCTTTTATTATTTTGTTTTACTGGATGGTGTTCATGCTTGTGCCATGTCTTCATTTTGCATGGAGCTCTGCGAAGATGTTTCTGCAATACAAGGAATTTGTTGTCTAGTGCTTTCTATGCATTAACATCGTTTCTCTTTCCTTCCCTCCTGCAGGATGAAGAATTGGATATATCTCCTGTTGAAATTGATGAGGCATTGGTGATTGAGGATGATGATATCTCAGATGATGACCATGACGATGTATGCTATCTGATCTTTTTCTTTCCAAGTTGTTATGTCATCAAAGCAGTAGAGAGTTTTCGTTTGCTTGTTTCTTCTATGCTCTTTTAACAATTATGCTCAATGTTTAGGGTCTTTTTGACCCTTCACCTTTTGATTTGATTGCATCTATCATCCATGTGATTGACTCTTGCTATGGTTCTTTGTTAGAAATGTCCAAGTTGGTGGATGAGCTGCGCTTTTCTTGTTAATCAAATTAATGAAATGAATATAAAATAAAAACAAAATGAAGTAAATAAAATAGGGCCCATATTTGGATCAGTCAGCATGCTGCTGACTCATCCAAGTTTAATTTTAGCATGATGTTTTACTCTTTGGTTTATTGCTCGTGATTTGTAATTCAGGGTATTTAATTTGTTCAAGTTGAGAGCTGGAACCAAAATTGACTGGCCCTAAACATGAACTGAAATGGATAAGAACATGTTTCATGGTTGTCTGACCCATCTATGTCTTACGCAAGTCAAAGTCTTGCACTGTTGTCGATGTTGATAACATATCAGCAACCACTGGTAGTCTCCTGAAGTTGAAATTTATATACTTGTATTCTCTTTCTGAACCTTTTCTTAACTCCTGAGTTAGATTTACTCCCTGGAAATTTCTTTGTATTCTAAAGAGATAAATATATTGTTTTTCTTATATTTCATATTTATCAATTGTTACTTAGTCCTGTGATTTAATCTATTTTATGAATTACAATTCACAATCCAGACATATGCTTTCTTGCTAGTAATATGTATAAATTGATTGCTAGAATAAGCATTATTAGCTTTATATAGGTTCTGCTATTTGTTTACCGTTTTATAGTTATAGATTTGATTTGATTGTACTGAAGTGCTATTACTATTTTCCTAAACATGAGTTTTACAATGAGTTTATTGGTTATGCTTTAGACGGTAGCTGAGATTTGGCCCAAAAAAGTAGTTGAGAAATGCACACTATCACATCTGTGCATAAGTTCTAATTTTTGTCTCTATGTGCAGGTCCTAAGAGATGATTCTCTTCCTGTGTGCCTGCCTGATAAGGTACAAGATGTTAGATTGGGTGACTCAGGTGAGGAGGGTGCTGTTGCCCCTGCAACAAGTGATAGCCAGACTAATGCAGCATCAGGTTCTAGCAGCAAGGCTGGTACATTCAAGGGTTTAGACTCTGCTGATATTAGGAGTGTCAACTCTTCTAGCACAAGGGGTGCCATGTCATTTGCTGCTGCTGCCATGGCTGGACTTGGATCTGCTAATAGCCGAGGTATTCGAGGTGGCAGAGATCGGCACGGACGACCAGTGTTTGGCAGTTATAATGAACCTCAAAAGTTGATATTTACTGCTGGCGGGAAGCAGCTTACTAGGCATTTGACTATATATCAAGCAATTCAAAGACAACTTGTGCTAGATGAAGATGATGATGAGAGGTTTGCTGGCAGTGAATATGTGTCGACTGATGGGGGCAGGCTGTGGGGTGATGTTTACACTATCACTTATCAGAGGGCAGACAGCCAAACAGATAGATCCTCAACTGGAGGATCAAGCTCAACTGCTTCAAAATCTACAAAATCTGGATCTGCATCAAATTCTAATTCTGAAGCCAAGCTGCATCAGACAACTATTTTAGACAGTATATTGCAGGCAGAACTGCCATGTGACCTGGAAAAATCTAATCCTACATACAATATATTGGCACTATTGCGGATGTTGGAGGGTTTGAACCAGCTTGCACCCCGTTTGCGGGTCCAGATGCTTACTGATAGCTTTGCTGAGGGGAAAATCTTGGATTTGAATGAGCTGGTTGTGACCACCAGTTCTAAGGTGCCACCAGAGGAATTCATAAGCAGCAAGCTTACTCCAAAATTGGCTAGGCAAATACAAGATGCTCTTGCTTTATGTAGTGGGAGTCTTCCATCATGGTGTTACCAACTCACTAAAGCTTGCCCCTTCTTGTTTCCTTTTGAGACCCGACGGCAGTACTTCTATTCAACTGCCTTTGGTTTATCTCGTGCGCTGTATCGTCTTCAGCAGCAGCAGGGTGCTGATGGTCATGGATCAACAAATGAAAGAGAGGTAAGGGTTGGAAGATTGCAGCGACAGAAGGTCCGTGTTTCTAGGAACCGCATATTGGATTCTGCTGCTAAGGTAATGGAGATGTACTCGAGCCAAAAGGCTGTACTTGAAGTAGAGTATTTTGGTGAAGTTGGCACTGGATTGGGACCCACCCTTGAGTTCTATACGCTATTAAGTCATGACCTGCAAAAAGCTGAGCTACAAATGTGGAGATCATATTCATTGGAGAAGCAATCCATGGACATTGATGGAGATGAACAAAAAATAAAAAACAATGATGGTGTTGGGCGTACTTCTGCTGGTGCAGAGCTAGTCCAAGCTCCTCTTGGGTTGTTTCCTAGGCCTTGGGCGCCAAACACTGATGCATCAGAAGGTAGCCGGTTTTCTAAAGTAATTGAGTATTTCCGGCTGGTTGGCCGTGTAATGGCTAAAGCTCTTCAAGATGGACGTTTATTGGATCTACCTTTTTCCGCAGCATTTTATAAACTTGTTCTTGGTCAGGTAAGTCGTTTCATAATGTCATTATAATAATTTTCATGTGTATGGTTAATTTACTTGCATATTTTGTTTTAATGAAGATGAAGATAATCAACTTCTAATTTGTTGCAGGAGCTTGATTTGCATGACATTCTTTCCATGGATGCTGAGCTTGGAAAGACTTTGCTTGAGTTGAATGCCCTTGTTTGCCGAAAACATTATCTAGAATCTATTGGTGGTGACCCTGGTGATACAATTGCTAACCTTCGTTTCCGTGGGGCCCCAATTGAAGACCTCTGCTTGGATTTTACACTTCCCGGTTACCCAGAGTACATCTTGAAACCAGGAGATGAAATTGTATGCCAGCTAAACTTTGGAGTCGGTCTGTTTGGTAATAGTAATTTTATTTCTTGTAAAAATGTTTTGATCCCGTCAAAAATTTTAGGTTAATATCAATAATTTGGAGGAGTATATATCCTTGGTGGCTGATGCAACTCTCAAGACTGGGATCATGCATCAAATGGAAGCATTCAGAGCGGGGTTTAATCAGGTTATATGCTTCTTGAGAATGTTACTTAATTTGTTCCACTACAAATGTGTATTTAATTTGCTATTGTCGGGTAAATTGCTTCTTTAACAATGAAAGTATGTGATCTTTGGTTGGGATCAGAAGTTTTTGGTATTAATATTGCTATTTTTTTATTTATCTCTTGAGCATTGCCTGCTCTTTGATTTCAGTCTCCGCTGGAACAATTTTATTGAAATGTTAACTTGATGGGGGTCTAGTTCGATACTTAAAAGAGGCATTCATCCTACTGCCTTTTGATAGTTTACCTAGTTGATGTTGTCACTTGGCTAACATGGCGATGAGATATTGTGGGGCTTACTGATCTAGTTTTTGTACAGTATTTTGTGACATTTTGAATTGCGAAGGCTATATAAAGTATTTATTTCTGTTAATCTGCTCAGTCTGTCAATTTAATAGTTGTTGTAAACCATCAATCTTGATCAGTTTATTGAGATTCAAACCTTTTGTTACCTTTTTTTATGTACTCAGGTTTTTGACATCTCATCCTTGCAAATTTTTACTCCCCAAGAACTGGACTATTTGCTTTGTGGTCGTAGAGAGTTGTGGGAGGTAATTTTGGCCCCTCAAGCAATTACTAATAACGGACGTTGCAGTCTTTCTATATAGTATCTAATCTTACATTAACTTCTGCAGGTTGAGACCCTTGCTGATCATATAAAATTTGACCATGGATACACCGCAAAGAGCCCTGCCATAGTTAATGTATGATTTATTTCCTTATATGAGGATTAATCTGTATATGAAATTTCGGGCTAGCTTTACTGGATCCTAAGATGTTTGATTACATTTTTCAGTTACTTGAAATTATGGGAGAGTTTACACCTGAGCAGCAACGTGCCTTCTGTCAGTTTGTTACCGGAGCACCTAGGCTTCCACCTGGTGGGCTTGCAGTGCTGAATCCAAAGCTGACAATTGTGAGAAAGGTATTCTAATGAGATCTTATTGGATGAGGACACAAGTCTCCCTTTTTACTGGTGACCAAGATTTCCACGGGAAATTCTGACCAATATATTGCGCTAAATTCATGAGTTCCATGTTATTTTTATGCATGATATATTGGTCTTTAAAGTTGGAAGTGTTGATTTTTTAAAAAAATTCCTAATAGGAGTCTACTCGGATACTGTCCATTGGCGGTTGTGTTCTATCTCGTGCTATGATCTGATGGTTTTTACTTGAGTTAAAAAAATGAATATGAATATTATTTATTTTTTATCCACCTTAGCTGATGTTATCCATGAAGGTTAAAAATGCATTATCTTTATGTCGTGAATTATTCAAGATTCTTTTTCTTACAATTTGCAGCTGTCGTCAACTGTGGCTAATGCTGCGATTAATGGGAATGGACCTTCAGAATCTGCAGATGATGACTTGCCCAGTGTTATGACATGTGCTAATTACCTGAAGCTTCCTCCTTATTCTACAAAGGTAACATAATGAAATTTTTGGTAAAATGACCACTGCTATCCAAGCTGGCACATACATTCATGCTGACATTGCAGTATTTTGGACTGAACTTTGATGTTTAATTCGGAACAGGAAATTATGTACAAGAAGCTACTCTATGCAATCAGTGAAGGCCAAGGATCTTTTGATTTGTCCTGATTTTCTGGAACTAATCAAATGATCCTGTATGTTAATATATGGTGAATCAGGGTTTACTCTGAAGGCTAATTCTTTTTTGTTTTTATGCACCGCCATCCTTGCTTCTCAAATAAGGGCCTTGTTGCTTCCAAGGTTGTGGCAGATTTCAGGTGAGTTTAGATTGTGCCTTTGCTCTTTGCATTCTGGGTGTTTATTGCTAAATTCATGGTGGAATGGAAGGAAAGGGAGAGGGCAAGGTCTTGATTTGATTTTTGATATGATTCTTTTGGTTTGGGACTCTTTCAATAGTGGGAGGAGGATAATGATGGATTTTCGACTCACATTCGAAAATACTTAGATGTCCTTTGATCTATGTGTGTTTCCAGGTTTTCCTTTTGGACCCAAACCGGGGAAAGGGAACTGTCATTCAAGAAATCCTCTCTTCCATCTTCACTCTCCTTTCTTTTTATTTTTCAGGTTTTCCTTTTGGACCCAAACCGGGGAAAGGGAACTGTCGTTCAACAATCCTCTCTTCCATCTTCACTCTCCTTTCCTTTTATTTTCTTCCCAACTTTGGATGGGGGATGAGTCCCAACTATCAATTGCTTCCTTTAGTGCCCCTCCCTTTTTATAATAACTGTACTGAGATCGGTCCATCAATTGCAGTTGAATTTTGCTGAGGTTTGATTGCCACATTTTCAAGATGTAAAGGAGTTTGCCGAGCACTCATCACCTGTTAGAATCTGTGCATAAAGTAGGAATGTTGAGATTTTGACCCTTGTTTCTTTCTTTTCTTTTTTTTCCGGTTTTTTTTTTTTCCCCTCCATCATTCTGTTCCTAATCAAATCATTCATAGTTAGAATATACATGTATGGAATGAGATGCAATAGGCAAGAGAAATAATTCGAGATACTGTGCTTTTTAATTTCCTCATACTTTACCTGTTATGTGGAGCAGGGAATATTATGCCGATGTCCTTTTTTCTTCATTAAATATTATGCCAATGCCAACCCCTCTGAATTATGAAGTTTTGGCAGTCCATGGTTGATTTGGAATTTTTTTTGGGGGCCTTGTATAGCTTAAGATTGGGTCATAATGATAGTTTTAGCATTTCATTTGGGCCGAGGATGCGGATGATATTTTAACTGGTACGCTTTCCGTGAGGGAAATAAAAGGCAAAAAATTAGTCGTTAGTCTTTCATGTGAAAAATTCTGGAGACTGTTGAGAGGACAGGATGGAAAGGAAGCCGCCAATACTATAATCGAAGCTTTCGGTCAATGCTAAATTTCAATCGTGTTAAAAAGTATCAAATGTAAACCAGGTAAGCTTCCAAAAAATTACGTAAGAAATAAGTTCGTAACATGACTACAGACCCGACTTGCGTTGATGGTAAGCTACAAAAGTTGAAAAAGATCAAAGACGCAGTATATTTATAATCTTTGGAATGGTCAATCATTGTGGACTTTAAATTGTATACGTATGTAATATTTTTCATTAGACTGTTGTCCGCTGGGCCGGAAAATTTAAAAAAAAAATACATCTTAAATTTTAAAATTCTAAGTCAGTCTTGTTTATTCTGTTTTGAACTTTTGATAGCAATTAACTATATTTAAAAAGTAAATGATAATGTGTTTTTATAATGATTTCGGATTTGAAATTTTAAAATCCAAGTTATCTTTTTAAGATTTTTTCATTATTGTTCTTCATATTTTAATGCTGTGTTTAATCCTTATATAAATGTGATGATAATAATGTTATATAAAAATCAGTATTATTTAATTTACGAAAATTAAACATGGTTTTTCTTTTGTTTTTTTCGGGGTTTCAATGCAACATAATCAATTTAAATTACTATGTGATCGATTTGCATCTATCTCCATTTCTATTCTCAACATGCCCGCAGGGTTTTGGTTTTGAATATTTTATGAGGTAAAAAGTCTTAGTCATATTGATTATGAATGTTTTATGTTGATCTCTCTCGTTCATGTGTTCATATATCGTTATATTATTATTACTATCAAGCTGCTAGCAGGAAAAAAAAAGCTATATTAATATCGATATATTTCTTCAACCAAGCTAGTATGATTTTATCAATATATTTTTATCAATGTATGTATGTATTAGATTTGCACAATTTTAGAAATTGATTCTGATGGAGGAGGTTCTTCCGCAGTCATGATACTGTATCTCTCTCTCACACACACAATTTTAGATTGCGCAAGTATACGTCAATTAGAAAAAAAAAATGTAAATCTTATACTTAACTAGAACAAATATATACTGTCTTGAACTACAAATTAGATTTTATATTTCGAGTCAGAAAAGCAACATTAGTTGACAGATGTGGAGCATGATGAGGAGTTGCATGGACTACAATTTTCACAACATACTTGTGAACGAGCAGCAGACTTGGGGCTACAAGTTTGAGGAACGCTTATGCAGAAAGAAGCTCTCGCTACACCGAATTGATACATGAAACAAATACAAAGGCTGATTGATGAAAGCTGGGATGTTAGAGGATATTGTTGGAAATTGTGTGGGTGTGTCAAAAAGAACAAGTTCCACATTATTCAAGAGAGTGAAAGCACAAGTTTATAAATACTAACTTGTATTCTTAGACTAGTGAATGGACTTAGGGGAGGAGGAAGATCTTGTATACATGACCATGGGCCACCAGAGACAAACATAATAGAAATCCGGTGATTCCTCCCTTGTACTTGAATTAAAACACATTTTTAATTAGACGTTTTACAAAATCTGAAATTAATTTTTAATAATTTTAGAGCTTACCTAAAAACGTGATTTATTGCCTTTGATTTTTTGAAATCCTCAAAAACGTAAAGACTTCAATGCTACTTGAACGAATTATCCTTTAATTGCAAAAACGGTTTTCTTTTAAACTGATATTAATTTGCCTTAATCACGCAACATTTAGAAACCGCCGCATTAAGCACCTTCGTTGCTACAACATCTGAAACGGTGATATTAATCACATTTAAACGTGATTAATCTATGTTCAATGGTACAGTAGGTTGAAGCCTATATAAGATGCTTCGAGGTAGAGGCTTAGGCATCCCGCACTTGAGCTTTCATGCACTTCTTTCCCTCCTCAGGAATTTTCGCTGCCTGGCTGAATTTATCTTTCATCTTCTGCTGTTTTGTTCACCCTGTTGCAAGAAGAATCTGCTTAATCTTGGGGAGTGCTACTTCCTCGTCTGCCAGTGGTCGCGGAATAGCTCTTAAGGACAGTGTTTGTAGAACGTGACTCAAACTAATAGTTTTCTGCAGGTGTTGCCGCCAACAGATATCACATACATAGATCTAGATCTTGAACATCATGATGCATAAATTAGCAGGAATTCAGTTTCGTGAACATCCATAAAGACATAATTCTCATTAAGGAATATGGAAAGCACTGTTAAACTGATTTCCTTGTCACTCCAGTTCACATCTAGTCTATAATATACTCTTTCAGTTCTAAATATAAGACCAAGTTTTTAGTATAATTTACACTATAAAATGGGTCTTATATTTAAAACCGGAGTAATAATACAGAATCTTTTGAAATTAAGCACACTTGTGTATAACTCGAAAATATTTTCTAAATTTGAATTTCAACTCCTTAAAATTCTAATTTTTAACATTAGACTTTATGCTATTACTTTTTTCCTCCTATCTAATGTCTATCAAGGTAAACTCATTACTTTCATATCATAAAATGATACTACTCCCTCGTCCTTTGTTTTTTTTCCCAGAAAAAGCAACTGTCGTCTCTACCTTGTCCCTTTTTTAGTTAGTTTTTTAATTTTATTCTCATTAAATACTTATTTTAACATTTAATATATTTATTATCTTACTTTTCAAAAACATAATTTTTTTATTTTAATAATTTTCTTATTCTTTTTTACTCTCTTCTCCTCATAAATAAAAGTATTTTTTTTAAAAAACTTATTTTTTATATTTATTATCATCTTTAACCAATTTTAACTAAAAGAATTTCAAAAATATTTTTAAAAATTTTAAAATCTCAAATTAGGATTGACTATAAAATATATTATCATTTGCTTTTAAATGTTATCAATTGTTATTAAATAAATAAACAACTGATTTAAAATTTTAAAATTTAAAGATATTTTTTTGGATTATCCTTTTTAACTAATTTTTTTATTCAAATAATTTGTTCAGATTTTTCTTATAATTAGATACCGACGAATATCATCTTCATCCAAGGTATGATCCCACCACACGTCGTTCTCTCCCCAAAATGACCGCTAAGGGCTATCAAACTTTCCTCTCCACTGGAAGGAACAGTGCACACAGCATAAGAAAGAATTGTCAGCGCTCTATATGGATGAAATCATTGACATTTCACGAAGTTAAAGCTCAATGTTCTTCAGTATCAATATATCTTTTAATTCTCTTCCACTCAAGCTGATGCTTTTAGACGGCTCAATGATGGCTCGACACTCAAAACACTGTTCACAAGAGATTCATGGCTCAACTACAAAAAAAAAAAAAGCTTTGGGCTCCGTTGTCAGCTGCACAGTTCATTAATTGTTCATGTGGCTTGGTGCTAGCCATCAAACTATGAAGCTTAAGAGCTCCCCAAATCTCTGTCTCTTTTTTCGTTGTCCACGAAGCTTTCTCATCACACTTCAAATTCAAATTTTAAAATTCTCATCTCTCCACTTTCCCTCTTCTTTTTTTTTCTTCCTCCATATCTCTGTCTTTTTTCGATACACCTCCTCCATATGTGTCACTTTTACAGTTTTATTCTGTTAATTTTTTCCTTTAAATTTCAAAACACCTTCTCTCCAGATTTCATCCTTGTCTATCCTCTTCAGATCTCATGCATCTCTTTCTCCATACATTCTCATTCTTCCTTTACAATTTGCAAGTTTACCCTGAAAGAAGCATGGACGACGTCTAAAATTCCTCTTTTCCCAACCTGGTTTTTTTTTCCCCTCTCATCTCCTTATGGCTTTAGCTTTTCACTCTCTCTCCAGATTTCATCCTTATCTATCCTCTTCAATCCTCTTTAATGATTTCTATTTTTGGGGTAAATCCATGTTGAAGCAGAGTAAGAAGGCACCTTTGGAGTGAGATAACCATCTATTCTGTTCTTTATATAGTTTTTCACCAATAACGTGGGCCTTCTCTGTTCTTTCTGGACGATAAACGGGAGCAAAGAATGAAGATGACTATGAGCAGCGGTGGATGGGAATACATTGGTCAGAGATCCGCTCACCGTTTTTCCAACCTGGTTTTTTTTTCCCCTCTCATCTCCTTATGGCTTTAGCTTTTCACTCTCTCTCCAGATTTCATCCTTATCTATCCTCTTCAATCCTCTTTAATGATTTCTATTTTTGGGTTAAATCCATGTTGAAGCAGAGTAAGAAGGCACCTTTGGAGTGAGATAGCCATCTATTCTGTTCTTTATATAGTTTTTTCACCAATAACGTGGGCCTAATCTCTGTTCTTTCTGGACGATAAACGGGAGCAAAGAATGAAGATGACTATGAGCAGCGGTGGATGGGAATACATTGGTCAGAGATCCGCTCACCGTATATTGTAGGTATCTATTATCTAATCATCGTCTTCATTTTAATCACTTTGCATATGGTATTTTTGTTGCTCTGCAACTTTCTTTTTATTATAATTTTTGCATATATTCCATTCCATGAAAATAATGAACATACAAGTTCAGGGGGTGGGGCCGTCTTTCCAATCGTGGGCTTTAGTTCTTTATTTAGGGAGAAGTACCCAGGCCATGGTCGAAGATGTTTTTTTGGAAACATAAGGCAAGCCAAGGCTTGAAGAGGGCAGTGAGCATTAATTTACTGGGGTAATTTAAAACATGTACAATGGAACTTTTGTCTTATGTGTTGGATGTTCTCATTGCATTTCCTTTTATTTTGGTGTTTTTGGTGTTAAAGACACATCTTGCTGCCTTTCTCTCTAATAATTGTAAGTTGTAAGGGGTTTTCACCTTTCGTTTGTTTCATGGTGTCATGCTCACCATCATTTTCATATAAAGTGAAAAATTATTTCTCTGCGTCTTCTTAACAAGGGAAATCTGAAACAAATTTGTGTGTATTTTTGTTGTGCATTGTGCAGCAAGAACAAATGGAAGCAAAAGGTATAGAAGCTTCATCGCAAGAGGAGTTGACAGAGGAAATTGAATGAAAGGTTGGGATGTTGAAGGAATTGGAAGAAGCAAGGAGAAAGAGGAACTTGTAGAAACATACAGCCACTGGAGAAAATAATGATGATATTAGGTTGAAGGTGCTTGCTTTGGTCTGAACGTTGCAGTGGGAGGAAAGCTCCTTATTGCTGTTCAACCACCTTTTTTTTTTTTGGGTTTACATGCTGCATTTATGACTTGTGTCTCGAGTTTTGTTGTAATGTGTAGTTAAGTTGTTTCAAATGAGAATTAAATTTGTTAATTTTTTATATGTATGATAAGTATAATCGGAAGATAATGCTAAAAATTAAGATGAGGCTACTTTTAAGATTTTTCATCAAATTTGGCGGGAATAAAACTAAATTTTAGATTTTTTAGTATTTTTTTTTTGCCAAAGATTTTTTAGTAATTCTTCAATCCTTCAATGAATGGATGTATTGTATTACGAAAGGAAAAGGACATTGTCATACGAAATGGAAAAAAAAAGTTAAGTTCCTACAACAAGGTAATAAAAAGCATTTTGCTTTTGTATTGATGCAAATATATACTGCCCAACTTGGTCAAAAAATATATACTGCCCAATGTCCCCCCGGGGGGCTGCTTGAAAAAGTTATCTACTACTTGACGGTCATCATGTGAATGTTTTGAGTTGATAATATTGGATTGTTATATTATGCAGATGGCTTTAATCTATTTTTATAAAAGTTGAAAACAATAAATATAAGATATAATGTTAAGTTTTTCTTCCGAAATACTTCACGTCATTTAATTTTTTTATTTAAGTATTGCTTATTTTTGTTGCTTTTCCTAACACTTTTGAAGTTTTCTTTTTCCAACATGAATATTATGTTTATGTTTCATTTAAATTATATTTAGAAAGTAATTTTTATCTTTACAAAATAAAGTTTTTTCTAATTAGCTTCTGTAACTGTTGAAAATGAATTACATAATTTATATGAATATATTTTGGACATCGTTAAAAATTTTAATCTTGGTTGAGAAGCTCCTCGTGCAACGCACAGGGAAGCACATTCTAGTGATTAATATTCAGATTGATTATTTTCCTCCCTGTATCTGAACTTTTTTGATCCTTGTCCTTCATTTAAACTCTCTTAAGAAACGCATGGATTGTGTCATGTGTTATGTGTGAATAAAGCAATGCGTGGAGCAAATGAACCCGATAAAATTTTACGAATCTGAGGAATCATTTGCCGCAAAAAAAAATGTGACTTTGAGCTTCTGGAATTTTGTTTTTCGCCATTCCAACCCCAAACATGATTTCTTACCCAAACTCATCTTCCTCGTCAATCTTTTAAGTTTCTAAAGGGAACACTTCACTTGGATAGCGAGAGTTTTCCTCACACCAGGGCATGCATCGCCATTCTTCAACAAAACCTTGGGATCCATTGGAACCGAACAGCTCATTTTCCCCAGGCATTGCTGCTCCACAATCTGCTTCGTCCCTGGCAGACTGCAATTCCCCACAGTGTAGCCACCGCAGAAACCCCAGGGGTCTCCGAAGCTCGCGAACTCTACACTCACAATCTTCTTCTGGTTCGGGCATTTCAGTGCGGCTCCCGGGATCGCCTTTTCCACTATGGATTGGAATTCACTGTTCTTGCTCCCCCAGGATTTGACACTGGGAGGGTGATCATCCGTGATGTAACTGCAGATTGTGTCCCTGTCCACGGTTACCACCTCGATCTCTTTCGGTGCTTGCAGGCGCCTCCTCCAATACGACCACCAAATTGTCTCTGTCTTTCAGCCAAGCTCTTGGGATGTGGTACCTGATGATGAATGGTTTGTAATCGACTTGAATATCCATTTCTTCTCTATCAAATTTGGAAACTCTCAAAACAAAGTCATGCAGTTTTACTGAACATGAACAGAGATATATATATATATATATGTATATATTTAATGTTGGGTGTTTGACACTTGGACTATAATGTTTTATTTTTTGCTGCGTTCAATATCCATATAATATTACTTACTCTGATTGACTAGGCTGTCCCAGAGGAGAGAGGTAGCTCATCCAATAACGACCAATGCTTTTACCGTTTATCCAAATCATGCCCTTCCCCATTCCATTCATTCGAATGGCTACAGGGTCTCTTCCTTCTGGGCCATCAAAGTATCTCTGCAAAATGAATACGGAATGTATAAATGGTTGGTTCCAAAACATTCGTAGCTGATTGAATATCTTTCGGAAAGAAACAAATCATATTTGTATGTATGTGGTTAGTGCAATGATTAGAATTGGAAGTCTAATGGCATGACTTTGACGATTCCAGATAATTCTCGAAGCATACAATACCTTATACCAAGAGAGAGCTGGTTGACGTCCATTGACTGGTTTCCATTGTACATTTTTTGATCCATCCTCGGTGAAGAGGCCAAGTTTCTCACCTTTGAGACCAACCTGCAATGTGACACCGTCAGCTATTTCGTGTGTTGAATACTTGAGAGTGTCAGTGTGTGTTTTGTGGTATTTACTTTGTCATTCTACCAAGCTTCTTCAGATTTTACCTGATGACCCCATCCGTTGACAGTCAGATCGATGTTTCCTGTATTCAGACCAAGGATGGTTATAGACTTTGGTCCAGCGTACCTGTGCTCCATGTATGCACCACTGTCCTGGATAAGGGAAAGGAATATAAAAGTTGTATAATGTCCTCTTTAAAAAGTGTTTCAAACTGGGAGGAAAGATAAAGTTATGCTTCTTACTGGGAGTCCAACAGTACTAGCCAAGATAGCTATCCGGTTGACCCCAACTTGAAATTTTGCATTTTGCTCAAATGAGAAAGATTTTTCCTCATGACTGCCATGAGCAGTTCCTTAAAACCATCAAAATATCTTGATATCAAACCCATTCTTTCACTTAAAACAGTAATTGTCACTTTACTCTCTCATTTTTGTGTGCTTACCAACGTATTCGCCATTTACAAATGCAACCAATGAATGGCCAAGACTAAGGATCACGAAGGACAGGAGACACTCCATTCTTCCTAGGCATGTCTGCTGGACTCAACACGATGCTACAATAATATTTTCGCAAGTTTCAATAACCAATTTTTTATGCATATACACCAGATGATTGGAGGTTTATGGGGTGGGAGAAAGAAACTCACCTAGTGGTGTACCATGCATAGTCAGAAGCGTCCTTAAGTAAACTATAAAGTTCTAGAGGAAAACTCTGAGTGGCCGGCATGTCCTGGGTAGTTGGAATGGCTTCTGTAAACACCTCCCAGTTTTTGCTGTTTGCAATCTGTGATCTCTTGAAGTTCCTCGAATTATGTTGCGAGGCAACCTGTGAATGCGAATAAGTTAAAGCTTCAGCCTCAGCTCCAGAATGTGAATTTTTTTCTCCAACTAGTAAATCTTGTTATGTGAGGAACAATTACGTTACCATTTGAGTGTTATAGACCACAGTCTTGCAATCAGGGAGGATGCTAATGGAGTGTGGCGGCAAAAAATAGCTCTGACCCCTAAAGTCTACGTTTGCTCCTTCCTGTGTGTGGTTGTTAGTTAAGAAAGCAGCACACATACCACTTTCTGGTTTCTCAAAGATCCTAGCCTGCAAAACATGTACAAACATCTCCTTCTTTAAGATTTGCCAAATGTCAACAACTACAATGACAACCATCTGATGCGAGAGATGCTTAATTACTTCAATGTGTGGGCTTAGCTTGGTGACTCTAGGCGTTGCCCCGAGCAGAGCCTTCTTGCAAAGGTTTAGAGCCCTGTGAAGGTCCCGGAGGTGACCCCATTTTGGCTCTCTTTGCAAACCGTATTCATCAAGAGGAGCTTCATCATAATAACGGGTCGTTGTGAAAGCAGAGCTGGTTCTACCGAAGTTTGTTCCGCCATGGTACTACGAGAGCTTGGAATTATGTTAGAAGCTATGGTTTTACTGTTGGTTTAGATTTAAAGGAAGATTTATTAATATTTAATAGGGATAAGATCGTCACCATGTAGTAGTTGACCAATGATCCGTTCTTAGCGAAAAAGCGAGCAACTGAAAAGGCGAGATCTTCTGCACTTCTCTGGGATGGTGGGTCTCCGAAAACTCTGTATCTGTAATATCAATTTACCAACATAAACGTGCTTAAATCTTAGTTTGAACTATCATTGCTAATTACCAATGACTAAGCTGGATGTATATAATTACTGGGCAGTCCAGTTTTCGGTCCATATGGAAGGCTTGTACGGTTTGTTGGGGCCAGAAAAAGTATCCCCGCATTGCCTTCCGTTGCACGCATTGATCTGTGAAACGGAACATGCATGCAAAATCTCAGAAAATATAGAGGATATCTCATGGGAAGAAATGTACATATTCATAGAAGGCTTCAAAAACTCACCACCGGATCAGGAGCGTCGGTTTGCTTACACATGATCCATGGAACTCCGACATTCTTTGACACTGCCATATTTGCAGCCCACTGAACGTAACTATCTCCCTGGGCTTTATAGGTTGCTTGGACATGATTGTACTCATTTTCAATCTGCGGCAAAATGAATCGCGTGGCACATTTATAGCTTCATGGATGTCTCTGAAGAATTATAATCATATGGGAAACCAGTTAAGAGGAATAGGAACCTGTGCCAAGATGATGGGACCTCCTTGGGAGGCAAACATCTTCTCCGCATTCATTTTATCGATCACTGTTGACACGTATTTTTCCATGTGGAACTGCAAATATAACGCATTTTAGCCTGAACACACTATATCATTATCTTCCTGAAAATAATAATGGGCTTGAAAGTTGAAGATCATGAAGAATATGAGGATGATGTTACCTTGAAGGGGTCATTGTCAGTGCGGAATATGATGTCTGGTACCTCTCTTAGCCAGTATGGAAGTCCTCTGATATATTTTCAGACGTAGTAGAAGTTATAGCATTGCATTATGGCAGAGAGGGAAAATAAATAGGACAGAGTGTGTGTGTGAGGAATCTAGTCATACCCATGATTCCATTCTGCCTGGATGAACGGTCCAAGCCTAAGAGTTGCGTACATTCCTTTCTGCTGAACAAGCTTAAGAAACTTCACCAAATCATAGTTTCCTTCAAAGTTCCACTGCATAATTATTGAAGGAAACCAAGTCACAGAGTGGACATCGACAAGAACTATGTATAGGAGCAAGGTTTGCTGCGTCTGGTTATAGGAAAAATATATGCATAGTTTTACCTTGCCTTTCTCTGGCTCATGAACGTTCCAAAACACGTAAGTCTGAATCACGTTCAAACCTCCGTGTCTTGCCTTATCGAGAATGTCTGGCCACATCTGAAACCCATTCATGCACAGCCATCATCTCTCCATCCGTTGAGAAAAATCTTCATTCATATAATATTATTGTATCGTTAACGTACGCGTACGTACCTCGGGAGGACTTCGAGGGTAATGGACAGAGCCAGAGAAAAGGAGCTCGCGTCTTCCATTGATGATCAGAGACCTTCCGTCATAAGTGACGCTCTTCTGCTGATCTTGATCGTGAGCAACGGCGAACGAAACGACGATGATGGAAAGGAGTGCAGATAAAAGCAGGCGATTTCTAGGAATCGCCATGCTTATCCTTTCCAAGCTGGGTTTTTGGGAGCCCCGAGAGTATCCTCCTACCGGAATATTTGGGAGGTGTCCGGAAGCTAATTTTCCAGACGCGAAGAAAAGCAGTTAAATAGAGAGAGAGAGAGAGAGACAAAGAAGCAATCGGGAGTCTGGGAGTGAAACTCGGCTCTTCCATTTCGTTCGGTTTGGATAGTGGTCGTGGTTACTTTGACGCAGGTTTCTCTCTATTCGTTGCTATGTGTTCTGAGCCATTCACCGCTTGCTACGACGTGGAACAAGAGCAAGACGTGGGACTACTGGAGCATGGAGCCTGACCTTTCCATTGATCAGTCTCTATTTTTCACAATCAAGTCAGTTATCCTAAATGGAAATGAAATGATGAAGATGATTCCCTCATTTCGCCTCCTTTATACCTTCATACATATTTACTATGTGAGTCAAACCATTGGATATCTTGATCCAATCATATGTCAACACATACGGGATGTAAATAGAGGAAGTTGTTAGACTAAACTGAATGTAAAAGAAAAGTGAAATAATTTACCGTTGCTGATATAACTGCGCAAGCACACCAATAGGGGAGAGTGCATATTGACCGCAAGCTAAAATGCGAGACGTCTAGTGCCAATATACTGCGCCCCAGAATCTGAGTTTAACTCACCATCGTCCTGCTCTTTGCAAAGGCCGAGCTTAATCCTTTCTCCTCAAAGAGCTCAATCCTGTTTTGAGCCATTTGAAATATGTACAAGTGATTGCTGCCTCCTTGAATTTTCAAGCATGCGTATTTCCTCCGCATAATTAAGAAATGGGCGAAACAACCTCCTCAAGGTATTTAAGAAGATAGGGCCGTGCTGGGTTTCGCTGCACAAGTCATTCAATGATTGGGATGATATCCTTGTCATGCCTACTTGGATTTCTTTCAACTGCTTTTCTTTGGTACGTTACCCAGCTTGATACTCCTCCGATCATGACTATAACGTTCATTTTATAGTGTAATTTTACAACAAGAGGAGTATATAAGAAAGAGGTCACCCTATAATACTACTATACAGTAACTGATTTACTCTAGGTCGCCCCAATGTATATAATATAAAATTCAGATCAAGTTATACTATTTACGATGAATTATGGATAATGTAACTTTAAATTTCATTCAATACATTAAAAAACATGATTAGTTGCATAATATACATGACGCACAAACCATTTCTTTTCTCAGGCTGTCATCATTTTTATGAAATCACCCACGGTTTAGCTTGGAGCCCTGTGAAAATCAGAAGGGGAAAATACATTCATAGAAGGAAACAAAAACGTGTTGGCCCCTGGCGCTTGATCCCTGATCCACCTTGGACTTTTGCCATCTAACTTTCCTTAAATTACATGTTTTTTTTAAGATGTGTGATTTAGTTTAATGCTGTTTTTTAAATAAAATGTTGTGCATGGCAATCAAGATTAGCACCAAGTTTGACAGATAAACCTTTTGATCAATGAAAAGTTATATCATGTACTCATCCGGTTCTAAATATAATACTCTTATACTAGTGTATATAAGAGTTTTATATTTATGATTAGAAGAGTAATAAAAAATTTATAAGTCCACACCGCTTTCAAAATTTTTACAATAAAAATACTTTTAATTTATTATTCTAATTCTTTGTCTTAATATGTTATTAAAATACAATCGTTGATTGTTGTTAGGTGAAGGCAGGTGTGGAAATTTTGATAAGGATCGATCAGCCTGACCCTATAAAGATGAGCTTAGAGAGTTCAGTTATGTTGGTATACTGAATCGTGTTGAATCGGATGGATCACGGCTACATAAAATTAATGCAGAGAGATTTTTGTCTTGGCTTGGAGATTTTCAAAGACATTGAAGGAACAAGTATTTAAATAAGCTTGGGTAGGTGGAATCTAGAGACTAGAGGGGTGGTAAAAGAACTTGTGCTGGCTCATGCTTGCACATGGATCCTTCTTCTGCTACATTAAGTTTCCTGTGTTGGCTGATGTGTTTATTAAGCTGTTAAATTTGTCCTATTAGCCCTAGCCTGCGACTCGTGGATGCCAAAGACCATATACACTTGATTTAAAAGTTTTATCGGTTTGATGTAACAATCTTCATTTTTGAATTATTTAAATATAATGATTCTTCGTTCAGTGCCAATGACTTCAATTTCTGTATTGTATGTGATATAGCTTCCGTCATCAATTTGTAAATGTATATAAAATCTCAATTTATTTTATTTTTTATATTTATCATTTTTTCTAACTACTGTAACTTACTGTTTTAGAAATATCATGTACTAATTTGTTTATATTTATTAATTTAACTAAATTATAAGTAAGTGATTCTTATATTAAAAACTAGAGAGAGTTGTTTCTTAACTAATACTACATCTTATCTTTAATTAATGGTTGAAACAGGCCAGGTCAGGCCAGACTTTGCTCTTAATAGGTTATGCTTGTTTTGGAGCCTATTGGCCTGTGGCCTGTTACAGGCTTATTTTTTAACTTAAGCCTGGCCTGTATAAAGGCCTGACCTGGCCTGAAATATGTTAAAAAGCCTGCATTTTAAAAAAATTCAAATTACAGTTATTTTTTTAAAAAGCTAAGATTAAAAAAGACGTATATAATAATTAATTTTTTAGTCTTATCTTTTATTTAAATTTTAGTATGATAAGTACTATTTTAACTCTTAATTACAATTTACAAGAATATTATTGAAAACTAATTGTAATTGTATGTTAAAATTGGGAACAAGACTACATTTAAGTACACAAAAAAAATTAAAATTAAGACAAATAAATAAAGAGAAAAAACTATTAATTTTACAATGAATAAAGAGGGTATCATACTTTAATTAACATGACACATAAGTTAATTAATTTATCATTCTTGGAACAAAATTTTTCTTTCCTATTTTATTTATATTTTTAAGATTTAAAGATCACATTATTTATTGATATTATTATTATTATTTTAAATTATATTTTTATCTTCACTTGTCAATTAAACTTTAAAATCTAAGAAAGGATTAAGCTATTAATTATATATTAAAATTAAAAAATAAATTAAAAGAGCATATTAAAAATAATATCATTAACTAATTTTTTATATATTATAATTATAAATTTCTAACATGCTTAGGCTGGGCTAAAAGGCTTAACAGGCTTTTTTAAAGAGCCTAAGCCTGGCCTGTTTAGTTAAACAGGCTTGAGCCTGTCTTTATTGGAAAACAAGCCAAGCCAAGTCAGGTTATAGGCTCTTGACAGGACGCCTAATTTGTTTCCACTCCTGTCCTTAATATAAGAGCTAGTTGATTAATTTGAATAAAATAAAAAAACTAGTTAAATTAGTTATTTGCAATAAATAAGTGTTTTCTTTCTTAATTTCTTATTAACCAAGTGTATTGGTTAGAACCACTATTATTAAAAAGACTATCTTAAAAAAAATGAATAAATAAGAAAGACAAAATAAATTGGAGTCTTATATTTAAGATCAAAATAAGAGTTAAATAAGTTTTTATATTAAGGATTGGAGGTAGTAATACTCAAAGGCAGCCAGAACTAGTTCTACTTAAAAGTCAACTATTAAATCAAAAGAATTGTTGGTGCAAATATGGAATATCTGACAATTTGAGTAATCATGAATATATTGTGTGATCATGATAACTTAAATTGAAATGAGTGGAATGGACTTAGGGGGTGTTTGGCAAAACCAAAACCAAGGTTTCAGAAGCACTTTTCCGCAAAACGAAATAACCTCCTCCACATATTTACTTCGTAATCCGTAAAAGCACTTCTGAAACCATGGTTTGGTTTCTATCCAAACACCCCCTTAGTCTTGCGTCTTTTGAAAAGTGATTGGAAATTAAATTCCTAATCTTTATATATATATATATATATATGTATGTATATGAATGAAACAAGAATAATTAAAAGGTACTGATCCTTTTATCCTCAATTAATCTCCGGAAGAAGATAAATATTAATGGATGATACTCCTACTATTCTAGAAAAATGATACTATTGTTGCGACCAAAACAGGACTTTGTTGTGCAAAGTCTGGCTTCCTCGATCACAAAGGCAAGAGGTGGTCCATGATGATCTCTCTGCAGTTGTCACATAACTGTAATTAATGAGAAGCATTCATTTCTCTTTCACATATCATTTTCCATCCAAATTAAATTGTCACTTTGGCCACACACAAAAAATTGTCACCATCCTCCATTTGATAACCAAATAAAGGCAGCATGGCCCCTCTTCCATTTTCACACACATTTCATTAGTTTTATATCTTTTTACCACACATTTTTCCAAATTTGTATGTATTTTTCCCATCTCTATAGTTTTAACTAAATGTTCTTTTAGGCTCTATAATTTTACAATTTTTTATGAAGTGATGAGGAGGGTGATAAAGAGAGGTCAGGGTTGAGCTATTTACCATTGACAATATTGAGACATAATTGGGAGACTGGCACCACGTTGGGCCCTACCCATGTTCATCAAAATTGACCAAGCAAATATCTAAAATACAGTACAGCTTGCCTAAACTTTTTCCCTTAAAAAATGAAAAAGAAAAAAGAGTATATCTCAATTTCGATATGCAACTGCTCTAACCCCTCACCTTAATTTATTGCAGTACGTCATGGAATGGTAGTTGATTAATTCTAAATTTAGTTGACTTAGTTTATTATGGGATTTATTCTCTCTTAAAAAAAAACTACTCATATTTTTAATTTTCTGTACAAAAATTCCATAATAAAGATTAATTTGAAAATTCCATAATAATGTGACAATTCAATTTCTAAAAGAATATTGTCTTTTGAATTTGATTAATAATTTCTAAGAAAAATAGTAATCTGGAAAAGTCCGATAAGTTAACAGGGAAGGGACATAATATTCGTGCTTCAAATGTTGGCCCTAAATTTTATACAGCAGCAGTTTGTCTCTTTATCAATATGATTACCATTCCCGACAAAAGGGAATTACGATTTTAAAACCTTTGACCAATAGAATTGCAGTAAAATAAGATATATTATTATATCTAATATCAATATTGGTTAAAATGAAAGGGTCGAAATGACCTTTTTTAGCGAATTAAATAGGTGAGATACTTAGATCTGACGCCAGATATCCTTGCAAAATTTGTTTGTTTGAATTTAAATGCAGTTCATAAGTTATAAATTTACACATTAACTTTATTCTCACATTATATTACCCCCCCCCCCCAAGCACACACTCTCTCATTAATTTTACTCACGAGGATTTCACAACCTTCTTATTCCACATTTTTCGTAAGCATTAATATGAGGAGCAGGAATACGAAAGGCAATGTACGTAAGCCCATACAAAAATCAATTTCAAAAGCTTCCCTCCCCCCTTTTTAAGGGATTACTTGCCCTAATTCAAAGGAGTTATAACTGCCATAAAATGATAAATAAACATTAAATATTCCTTAAACTTCTACGTTCTAATTTTTTGGCCGAAAATTTTATGTTTTAATCAAACGGTAACCATATTTTAGGTTTTCAATCACATAGTAGAAAATAAAGTCTCTGTCTTTACTAAAAGAAATAATAAAAAAGTGGGAAGAGCGGAACTTGAAAACGAGAGCGGTTGGTGAGTACAAGTTAAATGGTCGAATCAGGGCCCGAGATTGTGGTATTGAAGTAGGTGTGTATCATAAACTATAGCTGGCAAGAGCTGGCTCTACAGGCCCAGCTCCCCAGTCCCCAAGATTCAATTTTCTCCTTTTACTTCATACGGATGACATATTGACATTTCATTCCTTTCCGTCCTCCTGGTCTCCTTTCTTTTGGTTTCAGGGACTTCCCCGCTATGCCAAAAAAGTTCAGAACTTGATCAACACGGCTGCCAGGTGAATTAGTATTTCCAGCTGGAGAAGCTAAAATCGGAGCAAAGAAGTTTTGGGTGTAAACAAAGAAGTGAACTGCAATGAGTGCCTCGAGGTTCATAAAGTGTGTCACCGTGGGTGACGGAGCCGTCGGCAAGACTTGCATGCTTATTTCCTACACCAGCAATACTTTCCCTACGGTGAGTTTATTTGTTTGTTCTCTAAGAAAATGTATTAAAGATGAAGAAAGATTGACATTCTTCACATTTGAACTCGTTTTGTTGCTGGGTTTTGTTGAACTGAAGAAGTTGTGAGGATGAGGCTCGTTGTTTCTGAAGAAAAAGAAATGTTCTTGCGTTTGTTTTTCTTTATTCCATTATTTTCCCTTGTTCACAGTGTCCCCTCGGCTCTGTTGTCTTGGACCTTCTACTATTGCAAATCTTTTTTCAAAAGAAGCAACGTTGAGTTGCTGTAATCAAGCGATCTTCGTGGACCTTTCTTCAAGGCGACTGTTGAATTCGATTGGCGATTGATTTGTTGGGTGGAAAGTGTAAAGGGAAGAAAAATTATGCTTGAAACTTGATCTCTTCCTAGACACGATTTTTCTTGCATTGAATCTGGAGCTTGGGAAATCAGCCGCAGTGCTATTAACTAAATACTTTATATCCATTGATATCTGGAGCTTGGAAGCCCTGTAATTCTTGAAACTTGATGAATTTGAATTTGAGTTATGACATTAAAACTTCGTTCCTTTATTTTAATTGATGATGCAGTAATCTCAATATCCATCGCTTTGCTATCTTTGACTTGCCTTTGTCACTTTGCTCTCATACGAGCATAATTTGACATGCAATGACTGAAACATCCTTTGTCTATTTGTAATCATTGGCGACAGGATTATGTACCAACTGTCTTCGACAATTTCAGTGCAAATGTGGTTGTGGATGGAAGCACTGTGAATCTGGGGTTGTGGGATACAGCTGGTAATCTTCTATTAACGGTTATGTCTCATTTTTCTTGGTACTTCTGAAGAGTGCTCTCATTGTTCTGATGTTTTAATGACATGAAACAGGCCAAGAAGATTACAATAGATTAAGACCTTTAAGCTATCGTGGAGCAGATGTATTTCTGCTAGCATTCTCTCTCATAAGCAAGGCAAGCTATGAAAACGTTGCCAAGAAAGTAAGTAATGTTTTATTCTTTTATACTTGTTCTGTCCCTTTCTTTTCACGACTAATGGTCCTTCTCTCTTTTTCCAGTGGGTTCCTGAGCTGAGGCACTATGCACCTGGCGTCCCAATTATTCTAGTTGGGACAAAACTTGGTTAGAATCTTCTTCCTTCATTATATTTACTTGCATTGCCTATGTTAATACAGGTGTTGACTGGCTAAGCCTGGGTGCACTCATAATTCATAGGCATCAAGTTTTGACCAAGAGGAACCATTCAATAGAGTTTCGATTTCAAGAGACACACGATGCCATAAACCAATTTTAGGGATAGTTACTTTTCAATATAATGTTATTACTCTCACCTTCCGATTTAACATCTGACTATCAGAATATAGCTGAGAGAACAATGAAGTCAGAACCACTGAAGCAAAGTTCTCAGCTGTTTTCCCCAGTCAATTAGTTCCTCACTACGAACTTATGTTTATCTTTTGACCTTAGGTGTTTTTATTGTATACTGATCTATATAGGAGCTTTTCTTTATGATGCTTAGTGGAGATAGGTATTCTCATTAACTGCATAACAGCGAGAAAGTTTGTGATATAGTAGGGATGGAAAGAGGAATGTTACCCAATTGTTGAAGCTTATCTTATGATTAAAATATAAATGGTGAATAGATAGCAGCATCTTAATTGGATTTGTCTTCAGAATTTTTTTATCACGAAGGTACCCTGGTTAATCTTCATCTTAATTCCCTTTCTACTTTTCTGTAAACTGAGTCTTCTGAAGTCTTGACGTTTGAAGTGTCTCAGATGATTAAGATGGAACGAAGTGTAGCTGGCTATTACACAACTCAGTGCATCGGTGTAGGATAATTTTTGCAATTTAATTTCCACTTCAAGTATCATGTAACAGAAGTGTCGTTAACAGCGCCAAAACTTTTGTTAATGGTTTTCAGATAGCTTCTTTAGGAATATGTTTCCTCCTAAATATAAGGCTAAAAGCATGTAGTTGATGGATTCATTTTTAGACAATTCTTGGTTAGTTTGCTTTGGTGAATCATGGCAGCTGAATCCGTCTTTCAGATCTTCGGGATGATAAGCAGTTCCTTCTAGACCACCCTGGTGCAGTGCCCATCACCACGGCTCAGGTATATGTTACTGCTTTTATGTGTTCTGTTTGTCTATTAGCCTTTATTTGTTAGTGAAAGGTCAGAACTTAAAACTTACTGATAAACGGTCTTATACTCTATCTTTTTTGAAGGGGGAGGAACTAAGAAAACTTATTGGCGCTCCTGTTTATGTTGAGTGTAGTTCAAAAACTCAGATGGTAAATAAATGTTATTTGCATCTTTAAAGTTAATGGAGTAAAAACATGCTATAACCTGATTGATGCCAATCCTTGTGTGAATACAGAATGTGAAAGCAGTTTTTGATGCAGCCATCAAAGTTGTTCTCCAGCCCCCGAAGCAGAAGAAAAAGAAAAGAAAGGGGCAAAAGGCCTGTTCTATTTTGTGAGATCTTCCCTTGTTTTTACATGCTAGTTCTTGGAGGATGACATGACCCTAGCCATTTACCAGTAGTCTTCACTCTTCACTATACTATATCTTATATTCTGTTTCCATCCTATGGGAAGCAGTTGCTCCATGGCTCCAACACTGACTGTATTTGTGACTCATGAGCATCCAAGTTAGTTGTTTGTGTGTGTATCTGTATAGGCATGATTTCGTGACGTTTGGAACCCTTCACGTGCAAGCTTGCTGCTTTCCTGACGTTTTCTATTAAGGCTATTTCGTTTGTGGGCATGACTTTATTCATGTTGTAATCTAATATACTATAACGTTCCTTTGGATGTGAACTATATAATATGTAATTATGGTTATGAGCTGTTTAGCAGAGTGACTGCAGTTCATTCTCTTCAGTGTTAATTCTGTAAAATATATCTGCAGTGGTCTAACCAAAAGCTTAGCTTGAATTATCTAATATAAAAAATTCTCAGATGACGAAAGGCTGAGAACACTTTCAACTTGACGCAAGTTAAATGACAAGTGAGTTGAATAATACCTGTATTTCAAACGAGCAATCTGAACTCACAAGAACGTACTCTTCGGATACTTAATTATTAAATTGATATTGGTTTCAAATATAATGTTTATTTTTTATATTTATTAATTTTTTAAAATTATCCTTATTAATTGAGTAAGGGATGGAAGAAGGATATTAAGGAAGGTGATTATAGCGTTGTAGAAAAAAATGTCATATTTTATAATTAACTGTCTTACATAACTTTTTTAATCTAATTAAATGAGTTAAATATGTCAAAAGAGCAGAGTGTAGAGCTGCCAGCAACTTTACGTACTTGGAGAGGGGAGTGTACATCGCCCTCGACATTTTTCAGAGGGAATGGCGCATGATGTTTCTCCAACTTCATCAGATTCTCAACGTTGTCTGTTTTTTGAATCGGTGATATTTGAGAGATTCTTAAATAAATTTGATTTTAAAAGAAGGGTCTCGCTAAAAAAAGGTACTCTCAATACATTCTTGTGATTAGTTCGGCCTCATTACTCATCCTCATCGATTGGAGGCGGGTGGGCTGATGCTGTCAGGCTCCTTGGGAATTTTTTTTCGCCCCCACCAATTTTCTTCTCCTCGTGATCTTTGTAGTAGAATTTCGGTTAAAAAAACAGAGATACACGTGTAGAACTAATTTTACCTGAGATTAAGGATGACTTTCTCCAATAGTGATTTATTCCTTCTCGGTAAGCTTGAACTTCTGATACTGCAAATATCTTGAAATCGATGTGTTCAAACTTGCATAACTTGAGCTACTTCTTTTGCATATACATATAAAGCTTTGATCGGGTAAAGAAGCAGGAAGGTGCGCCTTGCAGTATCTCACCAGGATGCTAGAAAGCAACTCATGCCTTTACAGTTGTATTTTTGGCAACTGGCAAGTGGCAACATGGTCCCATCCCAAGGGGCAATTGGATTTTACTATTTTACATAAATTATTTGAGTGCTAAGCCAATCCCTCATAAAAATTTACTTTTCAACTTTATTGATTTAATAAAAAAAAATCTGAGGAGAATACTTATGGTGCTTTCAGCATCATTGATATGATACGGGATTCTGTAACTACCTGCTGATCTTAATTTAATTATGGTCAATTAAAATTGGGAACAGAAAAGGCTTTGGAAAACTTGAAAAACAGTGTGAAATGGCAAACATCTTTCGAATTCCCCCAGAATTTGTGAAAGGCGATAGATTCTTGACATCTTATTTTGCTGCATGTTGAGGAATATATACTGTGCCCACTTTCATGAACTCAACATCTCCCTGGAAGCCACCCGCCCATTCCCTCCATTAAATATGCAGTGCCTGTTTTCTAGCTTACCATAATTCTCATTTGGTTTGCATTCCTCTTCCTCGCCCCACGTTAATGGCGTCCAAGAGAATTCTGAAGGAGCTCAAAGACTTGCAGAGAGACCCCCCAACGTCATGCAGTGCAGGTAGGGCACACCTGAAAACAACTTTAACTGGTTCTTCTTTTTCCTTTGATTTCCCCTGAATGTGTTGTGATATGGCTGTTATGGTGACAAACAGGTCCTGTTGGAGAAGATACGTTCCATGGGCAAGCAACCATCATTGGTCCTAATGACAGTCCCCATGCTGGTGGTGTTTTCCTTGTTACCATCCATTTTCCTCCTAATTACCCTTTCAAGCCTCCCAAGGTCTGCACCACAACATTCTCTTGGGAAAAAATAATAGTTTAAGACTCAACATATATGACAATGATAGGTAAGAGCTTTAAAAATCAAATCTCTTTTCAAGAATTATAAAATTAAATCATCCTTAATACTAGCTCCCATCCTTAATATAAGAACTAATTTGACTTTCAATTTGGTTCTAAATATAAAATCCTAATCTAATTTGTTTTTCATATGTATCTATTTTTTTTCAAAATAATCATTGTAGTAATTGTATATATTAAAAATTCAATCAAATAGTAGTTTTAACTAATACATAATTAGCAACAGTATTTGAGAGAAGGCAACACCTAATTATTACAAATAACTAACTCAATAAACTTCCCTAAATCTACTCAAATTATTTTAATACTTTATATATTTTTTATCTTATTTCTTAATGCATAATTCTTTTTATTTTAATAAGTTTTTATTCTCTCTCTTACTCTCCTCCCTTATAAATAAGAATATTTTTTAAAAAAACATTTTTTATATATTTATTAATACCTTTAACTAATTTTAACTAACTTCTTTTTTATATTTGTACTTTGCTCAAATTTTTCTTATAAATAGATACCGACGAATATCATCTTTATCTATTATCCAAGTTAATAGTCCATCGCACGTCGTTCTCTCCCCAAAATGACCGGTGAGGCCTGTCAAACTTTCCTCTCCACCGGAAGGAACAGTGCACACAGCATGAGAAAGAATTGTCAGCTCTCTATATGGATATGGATGAAATCATTGATATTTCTTGAGGTTAAAACTCAATGTTCTTCAGTATTATTAATATTTCAGATTGATTATTTTCCTCTCTGTATCTGAACTTTTTGGATCCTTGTCCTTCATTTCAACTCTCTTAAGAAACGCATGGATTGTATCATGTATCACGCATGAATAAAGGCATCTGTGGAACAAATGAACCCAATAAATTGTCAAGAATCTCAGGAATCATTTGCCGCAAAAAATAAGACTTTGAGCTTCTGGAATTTTGTTTTTCGCCATTCCAACCCCAAGCATTGTTTCTCACCCAAACTCATCTTCCTCGTCAATCTTTAAGTTTCTAGAGGGAACACTTCACTTGGATAGCAAGAGTTTTCCTCACACCAGGGCATGCATCGCCATTCTTCAACAAAACCTTGGGATCCATTGGAACCGAACAGCTCATTTTCCCCAGGCATTGCTGCTCCACAATCTGCTTCGTCCCTGGCAGACTGCAATTCCCCACAGTGTAGCCACCGCAGAAACCCCAGGGGTCTCCGAAGCTCGCGAACTCTACACTCACAATCTTCTTATGGTTCGGGCATTTCAGTGCAGCTCCCGGGATCGCCTTTTCCACTATGGATTGGAATTCACTGTTCTTGCTCCCCCAGGATTTGACACTGGGAGGGTGATCATCTGTGATGTAACTGCAGATTGTGTCTCTGTCCACGGTTACCACCTCAATCTCTTTCGCTGTTGCAGGCGCCTCCTCCAATATGACCACCGAATTGTCTGTGTCTTTTAGCCAAGCTCTTGGGATGTGGTACCTGATGATGAATGGTTTGTAATCGACTTGAATATCCATTTCTTTTCTATCAACCTTGGAAACTCTCAAAACAAAGTCATGCAGTTTCACGGAACATGAACAGATATAATTTTTTTTGAATGCTGGGTGTCTGACACTTGGACCGTACATATATTATTGTTTGTTGTGTTCGATATCCATATAATATTACTTACTCTGACTGACTAGGCTGTCCCAGAGGAGAGAGGTAGCTCATCCAATAACGACCAATCCTTTTACCGTTTATCCAAATCACGCCCTTCCCCATGCCATTCATTCGAATGGCTACAGGTTCTCTTCCTTCTGGGGCATCAAAGTATGTCTGCAAAATGAATACAGAATGTATAAATGGTTGGTTCCAAAACATTCGTAGCTGATTGAATACTTTTCGGAAAGAAACAAATCATATTTGTATGCATGTGGTTAGTGCAATGATTAGACTTGGAAGTCTAATGGCATGACTTTGATGATTCCAGATAATTCTCGAAGCATACAATACCTTATACCAAGAGAGAGCTGGTTGACGTCCATTGACTGGTTTCCATTGTACCTTTTTTTATCCATCCTCGGTGAAGAGGCCAAGTTTCTCACCTTTGAGACCAGCCTGCAATGTGATGCCGTCAGCTATTTCATGTGTTGAATGTGTCAGTGTGTGTTTCGCCGTATTTACTTTGTCATTCTTCCAAGCATCTTCAGATTTTACCTGATGACCCCATCCGTTGACAGTAAGATCGATGGTTCCTGTATTCAGACCAAGGATGGTTATAGACTTGGGTCCGGCATACCTATGCTCCATTTATGCACCACTGTCCCGGATAAGGGAAAGGAATATAAAAGTTGCATAGTGTCCTCTTTATTAAGTGTTTCAAACTGGGAGGAAAGATAAAGTTATGCTTCTTACTGGGAGTCCAACAGTACTAGCCAAGATAGCTAGTGACCCCAACTTGAAATTTTGCATTTTGCTCGAATTCGAAAGATTTTTCCTGGTGACTGCGATGAGCAGTTCCTTAAGACCATCAAAATACCTTGATATCAAGCCCATTCTTCCTCTTAAAACAGTAATTGTCACTTTACCCTCTCATTTTTGTGTGCTTACCGACGTATTCACCTTTTACAAATGCAACCAATGAATGGCCAAGACTAAGGACACGAAGGACAGGAGACACTCCATTCTTCCTAGGCATGTCTGCTGGACTCAACACGATGCTACAATAATATTTTCGCAAGTTTCAATAACCAATTTTTTATGGATATACACCAGATGATTGGGGGTTTATGCGGTGGGAGAAAGAAACTCACCTAGTGGTGTACCATGCATAGTCAGTGGCGTCCTTAAGTAAACTGTAAAGTTCTAGAGGAAAACTCTGACTGGCCGGCATGTCCTGGGTAGTTGGAATGGCTTCTGTAAACACCTCCCAATTTTTGCTGTTTGCAATCTGTGATCTCTTGAAGTTCCTCGAATTGTGTTGCGAGGCAACCTGTGAATGCGAATAAGCTTCGGCCTCAGCTCCAGAATGTGAATTTTTTTCTCCAACTAGTAAATCTTGTTATGTGAGGAACAATTAAGTTACCATCTGAGTGTTATAGCCCACAGTCTCGCAATTAAGGAGGATGCTAATGGAGTGTGGCGGCAAAAAAAAGCTCTGACCGCTGAAGTCTACGTTTGCTCCTTCCTGTGTGTGGTTGTTAGTTAAGAAAGCAGCACATATACCACTTTCTGGTTTCCCAAAGACCCTAGTCTGCAAAACACGGACAAACATTTCCTTCTTTAAGATTTGCCAAATGTCAACAAATACAATGACATCCATCTGATGCGAGAGATGCTTAATTACTTCAATGTGCGCGCTCAGCTTGGTGACTCTAGCCGTTGCCCCGAGCAGAGCCTTCTTGCAAAGGTTTAGAGCCCTGTGAAGGTCCCGGAGGTGACCCCATTTTGGTTCTCTTCGCAGACCGTATTCATCAAGAGGAGCTTCATCATAATAACTGGTTGTTGTGAAAGCAGAGCTGGTTCTGCCGAAGTTTGTTCCGCCATGGTACTACGAGAGTTTGGAATTAAGCTATGGTTGTCCCGTTGGCTTAGATTTAAAGGAAGATTGATTAATATTTAATAGGTATAAGATCGTCAACATGTAGTAGTTGACCAATGATCCGTTCTCAGCGAAAAAGCGGGCAACTGAAAAGGCGAGATCTTCTGCACTTCTCTGGGATGGTGGGTCTCCGAACACTCTGTATCTGTAATGACAATTTACCAACATAAACGTGCTTAAACCTTAGTTGGAACTATCATTGCTAATTAGCAATGAATAAGCTGGATGTATATACTTACTGGGCAGTCCAGTTTTCGGTCCATATGGAAGGCTTGTACGGTTTGTTGGGGCCAGAAAAAGTATCCCCGCATTGCCTTCCGTTGCACTCATTGATCTGTGAAACGGAACATGCATGCAAAATCTCAGAAAATATAGAGGATATCTCATGGGAAGAAATGTCCATATTCATAGAAGGCTTCAAAAACTCACCACCGGATCAGGAGCGTCGGTTTGCTTACACATGATCCATGGAACTCCGACATTCTCTGACACTGCCATATTTGCAGCCCACTGAACGTAACCGTCTCCCTGGCCTTCCTAAGTTGCTTGGACATGATTGTAGTCTTTTTCAATCTGCGGCAAAATGAATCGCCTGGCACGTTTCTGACTTCATAGATATCTCTGAAGAATTATAATAATATGGAAAACCAGTTCAGAGGAACAGGAAGCTGTGCCAAGATGATGGGACCTCCTTGGGAGGCAAACATCTTCTCGGCATTCATTTTATGGTTCACTGTTGACACGTATTTTTCCATGTGGAACTGCTAATATAACGCAGTTTAGGCTGAACACACCATAGCATTATCTTCCTGAAAATACAATGGACTTGAAAGTTGAAGATCATGAAGAATATGAGGATGTTACCTTGAAGGGGTCATTGTCAGTTTGCCTCTACTATATAGTAGCTGATTATAAATATGTAAAACTCATTTTATAATATAAATTTAGAATCAGAGGAGTATATAAGAAGGATGTCACCCGTAATACTTCTATATAGTAGCTGGTTTACTCTTGGTTGCCCTCAATGTATATAATATGAAATTCATATCAAGTTATACTATTTACGATGCATTATGAATAATGCAACTTCAAATTTCATTCAATACATTAAAAAAACATGATTAGTTGCATAATATACATGACGCCAATGCCTTCCCCCCCCCCCCCCCCCCGGGGTCTGTCATCCATTTTTACGCAATCACACATCGTTTAGCTTGGAGCCCCGTGAAAGTCATGAGCGGAAAATACATTCATAGAAGGAAACAAAAACGTATTGGCCCCTGGTGCTTGATCCCTGATCCACCTTGGACTTTTGCCTTTTAACTTCCCTTAAATTACATGTATTTTCATTTTTTTAAAAATGTATGATTTAGTTTAATGTTAATTTTTAAATA